CACACATGGGATTCTAGAGCTCATTTATATGGAAAATAAGCAAAATGAATTAATTTGACACCTGATTTTTCAAACATTATTGCTTGATTTCTGTATAAACCCACAAAAGAGTATTGCTTGCAACTCTTCATGGAACATAGGAGGACCAAACTAATACTTCAAAAGCTGTTCTGTAAATAGTACAAGAACATCAGAGAGAAGAATGTTTTTTCATTGAGATTTTAACTACAGCAGTGTTACTATAATATAGGAAATAGATTATGAGAATGGTCATTCGTGACTTAATTGTGCAAACAAGGTCAAAAGTGTTCTAATTCCAAGCAAAAATCACAGCAGCTACACTGATAATCAGTAAAGATTCCAAATGTAGCCCATAGCTTTTTCCTTTTAAAACACAAAAGTTCTTCTGTTTCTTACAAAAAAAATCTGTTTAACCTATGACATAACACAGTTCTTTAAATTGATATTAAATGTACAGTAAAGTAATTATTACTAATAGTTCCTGGTTGTCAGTTAAGCAGCTACTTTATAAATATAAGATTTATTAAGTCACCTTTACAAAGGGCATAAATGGTACTTCAATCATATGTTTAATGAAATGGGTTTGCATTGTTAGGCAAATTAATTTTTATCCAATTCTCGGTTGGTTGGTCACTCTGTAAATGGTCTAAAGATCATAACAATCTATAGTACCTAAATAGCAAGAGAAAGTTGTGACTTCATGAAAATTTTGAAATTAGACCCCAACGCACAGCACACTCTGGGGTCCCCAACATGGCACAACATGCCCCTAAATAGTAACTGGAATTAGGTAAGCAGGATGCATCCCTACAGGGAGAGAGTGCGCATTCCATTCCAACAATCTATCTCTGGGATTTCCATGTGTAGGTGGGTTGCGTGGAAATTTCAGCTTGGTTTGCATACTTTTAAGCACAGTGATGGGTTTCTGCAAGTCAAACACCCAGCTGACCAAAACAATTATTAACTCTTTCATTGCACGGTCAATGGGCACTTCCAGAAACTTACTTTCAACAAAATCTCAGACAAGCACATTGAATTACGCTCCAGTTCACATAAAAGGTACATGCAAAGGAAACAGAACAGACGAAGCATGAGTCATTGTTTTTCCAAGGGTTACATTTACAAAGAGGTGCCAGTTTGTGACTTACACCTGCATGTGCTCAGTGAATAGAAGTTCACCAAAAATATTCAACACTGGTAATTTTCTCCAAACCACAACCAAGGCTATTGCACGAAAAAAAAGATTAAAAAGGAGAAAGAATATGAGAGATGAAACTTAAAAAAATGGATCAATAAAAGCATAAGCTGCTCTACTTTTGAGGGCAGCTACTACAAATCTGCACTGCTTCCCAGAATAGAGAATCCAAATTTAAAATCAGTTTCTAAATGAACAAAAGGATATATTCTCGATCTATCTACTTTGATTCCAATAGTACTGAGCAATAATGTACCTAGAATTGTATCAAAACCATGATGGGAGTTTTAAGCAATCATGTTGAGGAAAAACAAATTGCCTTTCCAACTTCAAAGAGTTCACACATCTGTGCCCAATCTGGAGCATGATTTGACGGGATAATTATCACATCACATGTTGCATTTTTTACTCCTTGGAGCGTGTTATAATTACAACTGTAGAATAACATGTTGAAATCAGCATGTAGCTTATTAGGACTGTGATGACGATTCCTACACATCTATGATTGAATTGGTCAAGGGGAACCATATTAAACACAAGGTGCACCAGGATTTCAATTAGTTCAAGTTTCCAGGGTGACAACAAGCTTCAGCACTGAATACAAACAGAAGTGAATTCATTTTAAATTGATTTACATTTCACATAGGATTTAAAATAAACTCTTATGTACCACTGCCTAACTTTTTATGGGTATTTATCAACTATAGTCTCAGTCAATTAATTGCTTATTTTTATTAATATATCAATTGATCAGAATTCAATCCAGATTCTATGTTAAAATAATTACATTGAATTATTTCATCTGGAAAGATTATTACTGTAATCCTGGTTTCCTATTTGGTGGTTTGGCAGTGCTGGAGTGCATATAACCTATCTGGAGAGGACACCCTCTTTTTTTTAATGCTTGGAGAACTTGGTGTTCGTCGGTTAAAGGAAACCTAAAATGCCAAATTGGAATCTAAGAAGCTAACACCACACACCATCAAACCATAGGTGAACTCTCTGTAATACTTGTCCAGCTAGGACCACTATCTGTTTGGATATTAGATTGCAGGCTTATCAGGTGCAAAGTGGGAAACATCCTAGCTCTCAGTGACATATTTTCCCCTTCAAGAATCATTGATGGGCCTGCTAGGCTTGACAATCTTCAACATCTTGGAGTTACAAATTCCTGGTTATGTCAGGTATTAGTTCATAGAGTTTGCCAAGGAGAGTTGATTTTGGCTTCACTTTTCTTCATCAGACACAATGATTCCCAAGAGACCAGACTTACCTCTGTCCCCCCAAGGAAGATAGTCACAGTAAGTCACAACTGTCTTTAGCTCTTGCTAGGTCGATATCAGGTACTTGGAATTCCAATCCTGTGATGAGTGCCACTCACTGTAAAGTATGGGAATACATTGGCATCATGCTCCCAACTAGAGCAATAACCCATTGAATGACAATACCAACAGTTGGAAGTACCACACTTCCTCAGTTGTTGCTTACTACTCTTTAAAGGACTGTTTTGACACACATTTTACTTTTATTGAGTAGAAAAACTTTATTGTACTTCCAAGAAATTGCTTCTGATCTTAAATTGATATCCACTCCCAGATATCAATACAATTCAACAACAGGATCTGGCACCTTTGCATTTTCTACTTTGTAATCTTTGGCACTTTGGCACATCCACTGCCGTACTTCACCAGTTGTCCCATTGTCCGAGCCCATTGGTGAGTGGAGCATTCAAAATCTTCCAACAAGACACCAGCAGCAAAGAGCAGCCCCACAATTCCATCAGATTCATCTGCAACTAATGGCCCTTTTGGTACCCATCCAAAAACTGCTGACAAAGACATCAAGTAGAATGGGTAATCATGAGCGACCTTGTATCACTCTTCTTTTGAGGATATTAACAACAACTATTTGCATTTATATACCGCCCTTCACGTGGGGTAGCATCCCGGAGCACTTGCTGAGGACTTACAAGGATCTTGAGACTGGAGTGCACAACTAATTCAAATCCAAGAATCAATCATGCACCCAGCTTCATTTCAAGGGCAGCATGAGGGATTGAATCAAAGGCCTTACAGAAGTAAATGAGGGAAATATAAGGGAGTTTACCACAAACTTCATTGCATCCTACAATCTTGTAAAAAGCACAACTTGTCCACTCATTGCTTACTGGAACAGAAACCAGCTAATACTTTTTGATCAGCCAAGGATTTAAAGTGCACCTTATTGCATGTACAGTGAATACCAAAAAAATCACCTTAAGACCCTAGATCAGAAAAAAATCCTTGGTAGATTTTAATCTCTTTTGTGGATAGAAGCCGCATATACACTCTGGGATACCGAGGTATGTCTGTTTCCAAAAGAACCATTTGCCAATCTCAAGAGAGCAGCTGGAAGGCAAGTCAGCAGTTTATGGCACTTGGAATAACTTGCTTGAAAACGTGAAAGGATCTACACATTTACAAACCAGTATTTTCCTGCTTTTTATTCACCACATTTGGCATCCTACATATTTGAAGGTTTGATTTTATGGAACACTGGCATGGACAACCGTCCATAACTCATTTGTGACGTTTAGAGAATCAAAGCAATTGAGTCAGAATTCAGCTTCCTTTCATTTGTAGGACAACTTCTCTTTCACCTCAAGGCCTTGTGTAAAATACAGACAGACCATGAAGAGGTTTTCTTCTGCTTCTTGCAAGATTCCTTAACAGAGAGCTAAGACGCTCGCTTGTTTGTTTGTTATACCACTCAAGGACAAATGTAACTCGGCACCATGTAGACCTTCAAGTGTTTAGAAACTCAACCCGAGTCTGAGTGGGAGAAGGTTAACAAGACTAAATCAGCAAAATGACTTTGTAATGAGGATAAAGTGGTGTTGGAAATACAAACATTGAAGGTGCCTGAGTGACACAAAAGGTTACACGTACTTCACTTTCCTTGCTGGGACCAGGATTCAATGTAATAAAAGTCCCAATTTTTTCATTGGTTACTGTCAGTGTGACCGGTCTGAACGAGATCCGAATATGCAAAGATACTCTTGCTTGGAGGTCGGAGTTAAGATGCAACCTTGGGACAGAGAACTGAGAACTCCTGCTAGTTTGGACAATATACAAATATAACTAGGCACTACATAGACCAGTGGTGGCCAACAAAATAAAATTTCTTGATTGAATATTTCTTGATTTATGGTATAAATCAAGACTACTTTGTTATTTCTATGATTATTTTCTAGGTTAACCAAAAAAGTTAATGACACAGATCTTTAAAATAGTTTTACAGATCATTTGTTTCTTATGTTATTCCGTTCATCTCATCCATCTTCTGCTGATAGTAACTGATCATTTACTTTACGTTTAGTTAGCAATGTGCAAATTCATTTCAGGAATACCCCAAGGCGTTTATAATGTAATAGGAGATCAAATTCAACTCTCTTTGATAAACAGGCATAGCTATATAGGTATGTATAGATTGCATCAAATAAGTTGTAATTGTTGCATCTCAACATGTTCACTGATGATCCAGTTCTACCTAATTATTAACGATTATTATTATCACAAGGCTTCCCTCCATAACTAACCTTTTCCCTTAGTTCTGGTTCAAGCTCCACTGGTTGAACCTGTCCATAGTTTCAATCTAATGACAGCTTCAACACTACATTGATTCAGATTTAAACCTGCATGAACTTCCACCCATCCATTACAGACTGAAGTTAGTCCTAAATGTGCTATTTCTGGACTGAGACTAATAACGATGAGGTATGAAAAAATACTTAAAAGTATAAATCTAGAATTTGTTGTAAAACTTTATTATCTAAAGAAATCCTCATTAGGATTTATAACTTCATAGGGAGGGGAAAGGGGGCAATGCATAGATTTTGGCAATTTAATGTTTTATTAACACCCCCCAGCGCCCTCCCCCCAAATTAAACATTAAAAGCACAATAGCTTGTCACATTTCCCTGCCATTCATTTAGTCCAAAAACTGTCAAATGAAAATACTCAAACAGGCTGAAAAGATAACAGAAAGGAGCATTATGATTGAAACAAAAATAAAAAAAATCAAACTTTTTTTGGGGTATGCATGTGAATTTAAAAACAACACAAAGAAATGTCAGATTCTACAGGTTGCTAGTTATGACTTCTGATTCAATTAAAATACTGAGGACTTCCGCAACACTTATATTCCAAGAGCACCAGGTTGAAAATATTGTTTAATATCTTGGAAACAAATGTGTTGTTTAATGCAATGTAGTATATTATATAAAAGAGCCCTTTGTGTGTAAGCAGCAGCCCAATAAGACTGAATTAAAATAATTCAAAGAAATTTGTGTAGGCAGTTTGTCTCGAGAAAAAAAAAACTTATACAAAGTGCGATAAAAAAATTCTTAATTTGATAAACTGATAAAATAATCTATGGAAACACTGTAGCTACAAGAAAATACATGCCAAAATGTACAGAGTATACGCATTCAGCTTTAGGGGTTTACAGTACAAACTTGGCACTCTTAACCATTTCCAAGATGCATCTGTTGTGTAATTTATAAATTTTACACTGTTATCTATCCTGTGTTATTATGTTTTGAAAATTTTGGCCTCTGCTTAGAATTTTGATACACTTTTTTTAAAACTATAACTTTTAACATTCTTTGGTTGCAACAATTTAATTGAATTATGGTTTTGTAGTCTTACTAGAGTCCCACTGTTTGAGCAACCAGCCTTGTACGAAAAAGGTACTGTAACATGTGATGGCTGAATAACAAACAGAGGATGTGTTTGAGTACCTGCTGTGATTTTTCAAGCTCCATTTTTAAAGTTTTATTTGATCTAAATCTACATTTCTCAGCCAGTAGCAAGGACCGTAAGAACCTACGTTGGAAAAGATACGCCTAAAACTGAAAATCATTTCAAAAATATTCATTCATATTTTTTGTATGGGTTGAAATGGGCACCTTTTTGAGTAAATTAAAAAAGTTACTTTCCCATCACACTATAAAGGTGAAATGTATATTTACATTTACAATAACTGGTTTTCCCCTGTTTGGTGCAGTGTGAGAAATGCCACCAATTTTAAATTAGGCACTAAAACATGTTTTCCCCCCATTTTCTCATTCCATCATTCATTTCTTTTTTGCAAAAAGGCTGAATCTTTTCTCTTTGTCCTTTTTGCCAGGACTTGTTTCAGGAGCAATGACAGGTGGGAGAGGTAGGGTATGTGCCCTGATCTCCCCTTGTCCTGCGCTTTGGAGCTGTGATTCGTCATTCTCTGCTATTGCTGCAGTCAGATTCTGGATCCAGTTATTCATCTCCTCCTAGAAGAACAAAAGAGACATTCAAAATATGGCTTGGTTATATTCCCAGTAGATCTGGATGAAGGACATCAATGTCTTCCATTTTATTTATACCACTCTTGTCTTCAAATGCAAATTATTCTCAGGGAGGAAAAAGAAAACATTCTGTAGCTTCCTATAAGCAGCAAATCTGAGGAACTCACTCACTTGCATTTTACACATGAGATTTTTAAAAAAAGTAGGAATGACAAGGTTACTCACCTCATCCTTGCCATGGAAAAGGTATTCACTTCCAGTGCTCAACCTGCAATAGAAGCCCAAGAATTATAACTTGAAAGCAGGTTCTTCTGCACTGGTTGCAATTGTACTTGAGTAATAGGAAACACTGGAATAGGAGTAGGACATTCAGCCCCTCAAAGCTGTACCGCCATTCTAATTAGATCATGGCTGATCTGTACCTCAACTCCAATTAAATAAGGAACATTCCAAATAAATAAAATTTCTTGATTTACATTTATTTCCCTGTTGTTGTCTGACTGACCTGCCATTTTAAAATGTTCATACATTTTGGTCCTAAATTGAATAGGTTACATGGAAAGCTTTTTAAAAAATCATACATGTAGTTTGTCTGAAAGAATCTGATGCTGGGTATAAAACTTCCAATTGCAGTGATATATTAAACAGCAATTATAATGGGGACTAGTCTCTGATGCAACCAATCATCTAACCTTTTACACTGCTTTCTCCTGCAGCGCTGGTTTCCCATTTTTTCCTGCACGGTAACCCTGACTCGCCAACTCAAGCACAAACCAATTGCAGTCAAATGCTTGTCAAAAATCTCCGAAAATTATGCACAAACTATGCAACAATAATAGCATCCGTGGAGAGGGAACTCTTCCATTATTTAGCAAACAAAAACTTGCATTTTGCATCATTCAACTTCAAATGGACATCACAAGCACGAACTGTTATTAATTTTTTATCTGGTATCCTCAAAACATGTACTCTAAGTACTAAATCATGTATAGGAATAGAACTCACAGAATAGATGATGATTTTCACTCTATTGAGAATCCCTGATATACTGGACAGTTATTATAGGCCCATGGTGTCAACAGGTCAACAGAAATTGATTTCACAATTGATTTCACAACAGTACTTTCTTTGTGGCTCATAATTGTGAATTGTATAAATGAAACAGAAATATAGCACAAACAGTTGATGTCTGGTGTAAGTTTAAAAGTGCTAGATCAAGCACTGTACATTTGGACCTGTGACGTACAACCTGATGCATAAATGTCCATAAGAAGGCAGCATGTCAGGAGCTCCACGTCCCCCGACCCACCCACCCCACCATTGGCGGGAGAGCGAGACTTCAGCCACTCTGCCCCCAACCTCTGGAATTCCATCCCCCAATCACTCTGGTCGCCCCCTTCTTAGCCTCCTTCAAGTCCCGCCTCAAAACCCTCCTCTTTGACCGTGCCATCGGTCACCCTCCTTCCCCTTCTCCGCCACCTGACCCCAGCTCAGGTCTGAAATGCTGTACACGTTCTCCCGACGTGAAAGATGCTATACAAATGTAATATTCTTGTTGTTGTTGTTTGTGATCTCCTCCCGATGTGAAAGGTGCTTTATACATGTAAATTCTATTGCAATAAACACCTACCACTTTGTAGTGTGTTGAACCTTCCAATTGGATCTGTCTTGCAACTACTCACCGAAGTTTAAACACATGTTTCTTCTTCTTATAGTCAGCAGCCACTTCACATGTTGCACCTTTCAGATTCAGAGGTTCCTCTCCATGGTACGTTACACCTGCGCTACTGTTCTTTGGGTCCTTATAGAAGCTGAGTTCCCCTTTCTTCAGGGCACAATATAAGGTAGTCCAGGATCTAGGTTTTGATACAGCAAACATGAGATGAAAAGACCAACAAGTGAAATAAAAAAAATCTGAACTAATTGAATCGTAATTAAATTGCATATTTTTAATTTTGTTCCTTTTTCTTTGTGACTCTTCATTAACAGAGACTGACAATTTATTGTTAGGGTATGGGCCATCCTATGCTATAGGCCTACCAAGAATTAGTAAGAGACTAACCAAACTCATTTCACATGGGCCTCTATAGCACATGGCAGAGGGGAGATTTATATCTCCGAGGTGAACGAAATTAGAAAGCTGAAATTCACCTGTTGGATGCCTTCTTATTTGGTCCATCTAGTTCGTGCTTGCGTCCAAGGTATCCCTCCAGTTGGGCTGTGTGGTCTCTAGGTGTCAGCAGTGGCAGTGTGGTTGCAACTCTAGATGTCTCAGGTCCTTGCTCTGGCAATATCAAGGGTGGGGGCTTCATGGCCTTTTCACGAGGTTTTTCTTCAGTTTCTGATTTATCTTCAGTCTCTAATGTCTTTTCTTCTGGACTGTCAGTGCCATTTACCAGGACAGAAAGAGTTTCTGATGTCGTTACCTGGTGGAAAAGTTACAGAACAAAATCAATAATCCCCAATGATGAGAATTAAGAGGACACCAACAACTTGTGATACTTATCAGTTAACTTTCAGTGTCATGCACCTTAAAGATGAACCAAACAGATTTGCGTTGTTAAGGATAGTGTACAAAGTAGTGAATACCCAACAGAATCATTATCTTGTCAGAGCACTGTTAGCATATATTTAGCCATGCTGCATGCAAAGTAATAGGAAGTGAATAAGAAAAGCACAGTAAAAGGAACATTTGCAGATCAGTTTCTAGAAGTAATGTTAGTCTCCATGTTTTCATCTAATCTCCTTCCCCTTTCAGTATCTCTCCTGATTGCTAAGAGGGCAGACTATTCTCAGGATATGCACCTTCCTATTCTGGATATACAGCTGCACACAAATTGTGTCTTCCCTTTTGATTTTCTCTCCTCCCCCACCACTTTGGGAAAGCATGCAACATCTCTCTTCTCCTGTCTACAGCATTATGGCTGAGATCAAGATCTCAGAGGAGAGGGAAATTGTACCCAAGTTCCATTACCCCACAGCACTTGAGAGGGAGGGAACACTCTGACCCACTTGCCAAATGCACTACACACCAGGTGAAAGCCAACAGCTCATTTGCATCAGGTACCATATGAGCTGGCAAATGTGAGTTTGCAACTTGGATGGTGTAGATTGGGCAAGTTACTTGCCTGTTGGAACAGAGGAGCAATTTAGAAAGGAAGACAAGCTATGATGGTAACCTAGGGGCTGCTGTGGCATCTCAGATGGATAAAGTTGATGTGCATCATTTGCCCATACAAATGGCATGTGTTTTCTGTACAAGTGGCACATAGCTCCTGTATGATACAAATGTGTCAGCGTCAGCTTTTACTCAGTGTGTACTGCACATGATTAGTCTCAGCAGAGTCCTGTTTGTGGAGCAACTAAAGGGAGTACAGCTCACCTTCGCCCACCTTGCACTTGCTGTTTTTGTTTCACATCCTGTGGATCACTGGATAATATTGTAATTCTTCAAAAAAACAAGGGTCATTAAATTGCACGACCAGAAGCGTCTGAAGAACAGTTAACTTTCATTTTGGTTTTTTTTGGCAAGCCGGTCCTTTTTTCAAAAAAAATGCAGCAAAGCAGCCTCTTTACAAAATTAGAGCTGAATTCAAGAATTTTCCATAATTCTGCGCATTTTTCATTCGAAGACTTTAAATTTGATACTTGTATGGACTAAAACTAGATGAAACTTTGCAGTTTCACATTGTATTGTCTTTTAGGTGACATGGATTGCAATCAAAGCTTTTCTCAAAAGCTTATTATTTCAGCGAGTATTCTTAATGGTGTATAAATGACCAATTGAAAATGTGATATTTCGGAAGTAAAGTCTTAGAAGTGCAATCATGTGAATACATGTCAATAGCTTTCAACTGTGGAAGTGTATTCCCAGAAACAGTTTGCAATCATTTCTTTCAAATTAAAGCTTGGAAGAGTGGTATACATCTGGTTATGTCTGGGCATGAGGAGCCCCGATGAGAGCACTAATGGAAAGCATCTGCCTGAAATCAAGAATCATTAAGAAAATCTTTGCGGCCAAATGGCTGGAAACCCAAACAAATAACCAAATGGAAGTCCAGGGCACAAAGCACTACAAAATTGCCAATTAAAATCAACACGTCAAAAATCAAAATCTAGGTACTGCTGTACAATTTCTCGTACAAGCCCACACCTTTGCTTCTGCTTTGAAACATTCCTAGTTAAGGAGTGTGTTTTATTTGTTCAGTCTGACCAGTGCAAAAATTATCTGTAATTGTCTTCTTGTGTCCTGCCACGTGGCTCGCTCTCAAAGCTATCTTCGTGAGTGTTCTTCAGCCATCACCTTTCCTCTTCATTCATGATCCTGCTCCTCTCCCTACATACTCACATGCTTCACCCACCACCACCAGGAATCTAGTTTCTCCCACTCCTTCCTACCTCCTCCCTCTCAAATAATCCGCAGACTCTCTTTGCCCACAAACCATACTAACTCCACTTTACAGTATATCCTGTGAAGCAAGTTGGGATATCCTCCTGACATGAAAGTTGCTATACCAAATGTAAGAATTTTTATTAATATATTTTCGTATAGCTAGAGACCAAGAGCTTGGAATTTGGAAAACTGATAAATTGAGGCAGGAAAAAAACAGGTTGAAGGAATAAAAGATAAGAAATGGAGGGAAATGTGATATATTTGATGTTTAAATAATATTGTACATTTTGGAAATAAAATATAAATTCATAACGTAGAAATATCATACTTTAAAACAGGAAAAAGGCTAGGGGGTATCATACACCAGGGCAATTTAATAAACCCACAACTGTTTGTGGGACACTGCTGTGCTCAATTAACTGCCAAGTTTCGCCCACAAAATACAAAGTCAGTCCACTTTACAATATATCTGCAAGCGCTTTGAGACATCTCAACGACCTGATAAGGTGCTATATCAAATGCAAGTAGTATTATTATCATTATTATTAACATGGATAGAAAGATTTATTAAGGCATTGTACATAATTGCACGGCAATTCCCTGCTCAAAACAATCGAGAGAAATAACCTGCTTTACTCAAGGGTCACTGTTGGTTCCAACAGATGTATCTCCTGGCAGCACAATTTCCTGCCAGCTCGAATGTCAGAAAGTTCGAAAATACCATTGTTAGCAAAAAATACATCAAAGCCACATAATGAAGCTGCTTGTTGCCGTACATCTTTCCATTATATTTAACTTACACAAAATCATTTCCTTTAATATTCTTGCTGTTGCAAGAATGAGTAAATGAAGCCAGTAAAAGTGTCCAAAAGGAAATGAGGAATGTCGTCACAACATGTATCATAGAAATTATAACATAGGTGGAGACCATTTGGCCTATTGACCTTATGCTGGTGCTAACTTCTCTGTAGGGGTTCGCTCATCTGATCCCAATTCCCTGTTCGTTCCATATAATTATTTGCTCCTCCACATGTTTATGTTCAAGTATAAGATGTTTGCAAGGCAAAAGATTGAAGTGGATTGTGAGAACACAAGTGCTCCATTAAAAGAGCAAATAACGATCTGTAATTTTTACTTTAATGATACAGTTCTTTCAGTGCTAACAGGTGTGAAAATATTTATTTTCATCATTATCTTTAAGCTAAAAATAATGATGTTTTGCCTTGTCGGTCACTAAGACAGGTTACTGTTTCAAGTAAGACTCTTCATCAAAATTGGGTCACTCCTTAAGTATTACCCAAACACGTTCTATTTTTAATTCAGCTTTTCAACATTGCTGTGTTTTCTCTTCATTTACAAAACTGTTTAGAATTGTACATTAAATTGTCAATCTCAAACTAAGGTGAATGCCTAACTGGGAATGGCAAACTGGTACAGTGGAGGAGGCTTGATAAAAGCATATTGCTTAGGCAGACTGAAGGGTGCCATACTCTACCAAGCTGATTTTACTTTGCTGTTTATATGCAGGAATGTATTTTATATAAAGCAATAACATTAAACTCACATTACTTTTTTCTTTGAAGTTCTCCTTTCTTATCCTCAAGGAGGATAAGAAAGGAATTCATTCTTGTTCCCACCTACATCTGTAGCTAACCTCGGGGGTGTTGTAAATACAGAAACCTCGCTTGTAACACTAAATCTGATACAGTAGAAATAGAGTCCAGAGTCATTCGGAAATCTGGTTTCCATTTGCTACTAAAAGCTCTGTGGAATACGAGTGCCAGCATAAAGCAGACCCAGCTTAGTGTCAGGTCTCAAGTGGTGCTGATACAGACACAATGCTTGTGTAATAAAGAGGCGGGAATTGAGCCAGCTGAATCCTTTTCCATCTCATTCTCCCCCCACCCTACCCAACTGGTTAATTCTCTTTTACCCCTTGCTCCTTCAAACTTCCCCTGCACCACAAAGACTGAGTGCCAGAATAGGCGGGGGGGAGAGGAAATCAAACAATAAACCTGCACCAAATGGCACACATTTTGTCTGCATGCACAATCTGGCATGCACACATGCGCAAACACATACAGTTTAATTCTGGTGAAACAATACTAATGCCTTTGAAACATCCCTTCAGTAGGAATAGGTCACTCCACAAACCCATCCATGTAGATTCAATTGCTAAGGCCAGACCACTACATTCAATCTCAGCATAAGGAAGTTACACCTTAAGGGGTGGCAGTTCATAACATCACAAGCTTTCTCAGCAATGTAAGAAAAAACATATTCCATGTCCATTTGCAAGTGAGACACCTCAAGAGGAACTTTATACCCTATAAAAGCTGCTAAATCTACATCAGTCAAGATTCATTTTAACACCTAGCCTCTCAATCGCTTCCACCTATGTGTGCAATTAGCTCGACTAAAAATTTTGCCTGAATGGGGAATTTAAAATGAAATAAAAACTTTCAACCATTTTCTCCTGCAGCAAAGATAACATTTGCTTCCACCGGGTACAGAGTACAATTTGTGGCTACCCGAGAGCACGCATAAACCATCTCCACTTAGACTAGTCGCTTGGGCAACAGATTTAAAGTATAAATGCAGGTAACAGTCAGTACAATGCTAACAAATTACATTATATCGGTCAATGACAGATTAGCTCGTACTCTTCTGCCACGAAAGGTGAGATCTCGGAGGGAACTCTATTCAGATACTAATGGAGCAAAATGAGATAAAGAAAGTACACCCATAACAATACTGTCAGAGATTTGGGACCCTCCTTCGCACTCCGTTTTGACACTTTCTATGAAATAGATGCACTTTTAGGTGTTTGTATTTCACATTTCTACAGTAAAACTTGCATAAATCTGATCTGTATAAATTGTATAATCTCCTAAATCGTACATCTGCCCAATTGCCCTTCAAGAGTTTATATTCTATGTAAATTTGACAAAATTCGTACTTTGCATAATCATATTAAATATATGGTCCCAACTGATACAACCTCTGTGAGGTTTACTATATATTTCCTGTAAAACAATGTAACATTTTGAGCAGTTACACAACATCAAACACAAGTTTTCATAGACTCAGCTCAGCGGGTGGGGGGGGGAAGGTGCTTAACACACACACACACGCACACACAAAAAAAAAGAAATTGAGGATAAAGAGTGGTCTTTATTTTAAATATTGGGAAAAAGAAAAGATCAGGAAAATCATTGAAAAGAAACGCGGCGTTTAGATTGCAGATACACACAAAAATATAAAGTAGAAAGACCATGTGGGAAAACAAAATATCAAAGGCACAGAAAAAGGACACAACAGGAATAATGTAGAACAATGCACAATTGCACATGTGTGTCATGTAAAAGTAAACAGGCTACATCAACCTATAGCCAATAAAACACAAAACTGCAACACTTATGCCTGGACCAGTTCACACCCTCAGTTCTGATCTACGTCACAGTCTGCAATGCGTGGAATGGGAACACACTGACACCTTGTGTTAAGGCAAAGCTGTGCAACTGAAGCTGACATTAGTGTTGCAGCATTTCTGGGAAACAGTCTTTCCCCTCCGCTGCCCTTTTCAGTTAATGGTACAATATTCCATTCAATTAGTTTAGGAATCCAGAGTTAATTCAGGTTGACGCATTCCTTAAACTCCAGGTTATATCTCTGGAACACAAGTCATTGACATTCCACTACTTTGGCAATATGTTTTGCAGGGTTTGTGCAGTGGCGCGCCAATAAATAACATTAGAACTCATTACTGGGCTCACCCATTGTGACAGAATGTTTACAATATGACTGTGCACTCTTTCGCTACCTACTTTTCACAGGTTTCTCATAATTTTAATTACAACAACCTGCATTTTTATATAGCGTCCTGCGCGTTGGGTAACATCTCAGAGCGCTTTACACAGGTTAATTAACGTAGGTTAATTAACAAGGACACGATTTCAACCTCATCTTTGTAAAGAGCTCTGATACATTACCGAATTGTTAATTGTTAATTAACACAGGTTAATTAACAAGTAATGTCCTTAATTAAACTTTTTTAAATTCACACAATTCGGTCTGACATGCCGATCACTATAAAAATAACTATTTTTCCACTTAATCTCTACAATGTGAAATCCCATTAAAATGATGTGACTATTTTTAGTTAACAGTATATATTCGACTCCAAAGCCATTTAAATGACGTTCATAAAATAAAAATGAAGCAAGTGGTACATTTCCTCAAGATAACACGCCTTCATAATAATCCTTAAAGAGAAAGGTCAACAAGAAGACCTTAATGTTGAAAGATATTTAAAAATCTCAATCTTCACCAATAGTGAGGAATTTTCAGTATAGTATGATAGTTGGAGCTCCTGACTTGTCATAAAGGGAAAACCAATGAGAATAGAAGAGTAAGTATCAGAGAACAATGTATCACTATGTGTTGATCTAACAATCAAATACTCTACTTTCTTCTGAGCTTATAGTGGAAGCAGAGACAATCTATGAGAACAGAAGTAACCTATTGCATGCAGCATGCTGATTTGTCTGACGGCAAACTATCCCTAAGTAATCTATCCATAGCAGCCATTCAAACAAAAGATGAAGCAGATGAAGAACAATCTGATGTTAATGTGTGTTAAGTCGAAGCAAAAGTCACTTCAGGGCAATATACGGTTAGGTAGGGAATAGCAAAGCAGACTGAGAATGGGAATTTGAAGGGTATTAACTCAATAGTAATCCTGGATTCTCCACCAAAATCTGTTCACCAACTATAACATAAAAGGTCCCAGTAAATGTAACTGCTTAACAAGCAACCGTTTTATATTGTATTCCTAGTGGCTACCAGTCTTTAAATCCCTGCCAGAGACTGGGGTAGACCTTCAGTGTAGCCTCTTGGCTAAGAATTGCATGGAAAATCTACAAAGGGAAAGAGGAAAAAGACCAAATCACAGAATCTTTACAGTAAAGAAGGAGGCTATTCGGCCTTTTGCCTGGTTTTATGGTTCTATTACCTGGAGTTTGATTTGCCAGCTATTTGTGTGAAGCATTCTATAGTCCTAATAAACCTCTGTGAGTTTGAAAATGCAACATATCATGGATATAACATGGGTACGAAGAATTATCAGGCAGTTCAGCGACTTATTGCTGGAAAATGACCTCATGCTGTATAATTAACGCACATCTTTGTCAATTTCCACATTTTTAAAAAAAAAGACTGAAAGGATGTACTGATCAGACTGAAACCAATCCAGCTTTGGGCTCTTCTTCTAGTTTTATTCTATTGTTCTTAGTTTCTTTGAGAAGCTCTTCCCAAAGATGGTGCATCATTGGTGTTAATGTTTCTACAGTGTTGGTGGAGTCGATGGATAGAATCAGAGCTCCTGTCATTTGTGCACTTTCAATGCTGTCAGTACATGGATACACTAAGCCACTTTGTAATATCAAGTCCATTTTCTTTACTTGAATGGAAAGGAGGGAACTGAAGTGCTGTTATCCCAAGGCCTCACAGAATTCAGACATTAATATTCATCAATAATGATAATAATTAATTAACAACCCTGTCTGCATTGTGGTAGCTGCGCAAATGCAGCAGAACTCTATTATAATGAAGTAGGAGGAAGTCCTTAAAATTCCAACCCGGAATTTTAATGGGCAAGATCGCTTGTCGGCACTGCCTTTTCAGCAGCCTCATGTAATAAAGAAGCACACTTATAACAGGGTTCTACTGTAATAATGTTTTAGTCAGACAGCTGTCTGACACGCACAGAAACCCAGCACCATACTAAAGAGTATTCAAACAAGATAGTGTTCAACATAAGTATACCAGCTACGTATGGAAATTTTCTACTGTAATCGTTGCAAGTATTACACATTCACTCTGGTTTGGTTTAGACCTGATTTGTACATCCATAAATTATACAACAGCGAGCCCATGAGAGTTGGATGAAAAGAATAGAAGAAAAAGCAATAAGGGGTGCAGAGAAGAGAATAGCTGGTATTCTAGAATGCCTTGAAACGTTGGGAACCATGACAGAATTTGGATTGGTAACTGACCAGTGATTGTTCTTCTACTGTGTGAGGGGATGTTTCTGCTGCCTCTTGGCCTTCTTTCTTCCATTCTTCTTCTGGTGTCCTGAAAGATAAAGTGAAATATTAACCTGTGCGGCAGCAGCACTATCTCTTTCCCCGGTGTACTCTGCTCACTGTGGAAAATGGAAAATTCTCATCTTGAATTATTTTTCGGCTTTCTGCTGAGTCTTTGTTTGTTACCTCGTAAATACAGTAATGTGCAAAAAAGATTGAAAAAAATCCAGATAAAAAATTCTTTGCAGCTCTACTACAAACCTGCCTCATCAGTCAAAAACTATGCTTTGACAACTGGAGAAGTCATGGATGAAGATGGGTAAAAGCACCACAAAGTATCCCTCTAATAATGACTGACTCACTGGGGAAGATTTGAAGCTTTGGCAGCTAGTTTTTCATTTGTATTTATTTAAATTTTATGCCTGAGATTTTTCATGCAATTTGTGGATACAAATGTTCAGTCAATTTAAGCAAGGCAATCAGATACTTGGATGAGTCATGCTTTCCAAATGTAATAAACGCAACTAATAGCCATTTTGAACTGGAGGTAAATCAGTGGCAAACACTTGCCTACAAAGTAGTCTCTACCCTTTACACTGAATTCTGTGAACCATTAGGAGACGTTCTCCTGACATGAAAGACACAATATCAAATATAAGGATTATCATTTATTGAGACTTGATGAAGTCTCAATAAATAATGGCATGATATCCAGCATGCAAACTTTTCCTTTATAAAACCTAGCCTTTGGGTTGTAGCACTTAATAATAATAATAATAATCCTTGCATTTGATATAGCGTTTTTCACGTCGGGAGGACATCCCAAAGCGCTTCACAGAACACACTGTAAAGTGAATTGACTGTATATTTGTGGGCGAACGCGCACAGCAATGTCCTACAAACAGTTGTAGATTGAATATGACCAATTTATTATTGTTTTTGTGTTTTGGAGGGATTATTATTAGGCGTGTGGAGTAAGGAAACTTGCCCAAGGTTTCGCCCTGCCTGGAATTGCAATTGATACCCACATTTAATCTTTTTGCTTGCTACTGTGATATCAACTTCCAAAGGCAGTCTAATCTTAGTGCAGGTGTAAAGCCAGGGGAAGAACTGTTTGACGTCAAGCAAGTCTTTCCCTGCCTGCTCCAGTTTTATTTAGCCATTCAACCGAATGAGACATGAAGCACAAACACTTACTTTTCTTGCTGAATCTCCTCAGGTGACTCCTGTTCATTATCTTGTTGGCGTTGTTCTTCCATGCTCTGTCTCATAGCCTCTTGCTGTTTTCGAATCTCCAGCAATTCCAACTGCAAGAGAGTAACAGCGCTGGTGTTCAGCATTAAAAGCCTTTGGGACGGACAATGAATGATGCAATACACATACTTGAACTAATGAAATGGGTGGGTCAATCACAAAAAGGAACGGAAATCTAGTAGGTCTTTATATCTTTGACAGAAGTCTACATATTGGTTCAGATTTCCTGATGCCTCATCAAGGACATCAGCATTACAGCTGGTTTCTGTGATCAGTGACCACCATGAAGGCCAAGGGAATAGGGCACTGAGCAGCAGGATGTAAATAAAAAGCAATTGCTTTAAATTCCTGTCACAAACTTTCCATCTCAACAACTAAATATGGTTTGAATTTTAGTTAGTTGCTTAATCTGATAATGACTTAGGAACAAAGGAGAACTTTAAAGGGCAAAAGCTACATTTCCCATGACAGGAAGAGAACAATGACAATTTGCATTTTGTGCAGTAATATCTCACTGCGATTTCACAGAAATGGTGCCAGACACCAAACGAGGGTGAGGGGGAGTGTGAAAGGCTTTGTAGGCTTTTCATGAGATAAATAGAGAGGGATGAGTGGAAGGGTTGAGGAAAGGCGCTCCAAAGGGTGGAGGTGTAGTAGCTGAAGACTGAATCCCCAATAGTGAGGCAGCGGGATGGTGGGAGGACACATAGCAGGTCCAAGATTGTCGAGCAAGAGGGGGCAAGCAGAAAACTGAGGCTGAAAAAGATCATAGAAGTAGAGTGGTGCAAGGTTGTGAAGAAATTTGAATGAGGATCTTGAAGTTGATCTGCTGGGAGACACGGTGCAAGTGGAGCCTGGCGAGGATAGACGTAATGGGCATGCAAAGTTTTGTGTAGCTAAGGATGTGTGTACCGATTTTTTGGATGAACTTATGGATGGAGTTTAATCACTCACACGCTATACATTTCCTACATATTCTCTCTGTGAGACACTCACCAACTTTCTTTCTTTTAGCTCCAGCTTACCTCCCATGATCACATTCACTCACATTTGTTTTCCCCACTATCTTACCCCTCTCTCTCTCATTTCTCTCCTCTTTCATCCTGTGTTTCCTCCCCAGTTCATTATCCCTCTCCTTTATTTCCTCTCTCGCTCGCTCCCTCTCCCTTCCCCTCCCCCCGCCCGCACTTCCCTTCCTCTCTTTTCTATACAATAAACAGGAGCTGTAAAAATGGTAAGATTTATTACCACATTACGACTTATATGGCATATCATTGTGGTTTTAAAGACTTGGTGAGTTATGTCACTTCATCCAAATCATGACCTACACATTAAAATTGGTTCACTTCATAAACGCAGCTTAACAGCAATCATCCGTCATCCAAAGGCAGCTGTTTATTCCCGGAAAGCAGGTGCTTATTTTAGGTGCACTTACTGTGGTGAGTCTCTCCAGCGCAGAGAACCTCTCATCCCAAGTGGCTGTTGATTTTTCAAAAGCCTCGTGTCTCTTGATCAGCTTCTCAACTTCATCTACGTTGCCGCCCAGATCACGGCTGCTAAGATAGGGCTCCTGAGCAATCAACCAAGCCTCAGCAACTGAGGCGTCTCTTGCAAACTGACACACTTCCAACACTAGAAATATTAGAACAACACAATGACACAGAACTTGATCTACTCTAGCATCCTCTCACACAAAAATTCCCATACGCAATATACTATACCTATGAATATAGATCTGACAAAAATACATGTCCCCTGCACAAAACTATTTGCATTTGCTGTAATACAGAATGCCATCACTTGTTAAGATTAATCTGTAATATAAATCCCTCTACAAAGGCTTCAAGTAAAAGTGTATAATAATGTCCCAACTAGAGTGAATGAAGATGGGAGTCCTTTAAGTTTATCATTTCTGCATTACGGTTTTTTTTTGGCCTTGGCTTCTCTGTCCACGTACCTCAGTTAAAATATACTTTAAGTGGGAATTGTTGTTGCTAATAAAGAGGCTGGGAAAGCTTTTGCCAACCGTTTATAAGCTCATACTGCACATTCCGTAAACTGGTAGAACTCCTGTTGAGTTACTAATATGGCATTGAGTAAAAAAAACCTTGTTGAAATTCTCCAGGATTATTCCTTTTCTGAAACATTGCCAAGATGTCAAATGTGTGCAGCTTAAGAACATTCATAGTATTTAATAAAGAAACTAAAATCCTGTTGCGTTTTTGATTATGGAGCAGAATTGCCGCTATAATCTCCCAAAAAGGCTTATATTTATGATTGTGTGCAACTGTTTTTAATTAGCAGGGAGTGGCAGGAAGCTTAGCTTTCACCAAGTATTTTTAAAAAAAATATAAAATCATGGTTATGCAACAGAATACAGCTGACTTACACAGGCGTAACCAATACCAACGTTCATCCCACTTATCCATCATATCCGTTCTCTTCTCGGTGAGTTGCAACAGCTTTTCTTTTATCTAAAAATGACAAGGTCGGTAGGCGATTAATAACTGCTTGAAAAGCGTCTGTTTTAATACTGCTACCTTGTCTCCCAGAGAAGGTTTGTGCAGAAGTTGAAGTTATGTCTCATGTAGTATAAATGTAAGCCTTTAGCACTTTAATATTAGTTCTAAATTATCAGAAAAGAAAACAATGTGCCTTGAAGTTAGGTCACCAAATTTCAGACTCCTCTCTTCACTAGCAACATGCTGAAATTGTGTCACAAGATAAGAACTCAGCATTGCATAATTGGAGATTTCAAATAAATATCAGTTCGGTTTTACAATACAAACAGCTATTTGATAACTAATGCAGTCAATTTCAGCAAACCCTTGTGTTTGAAGTCAAATCACAATGTGAAAATAAAATTATAGCGATTATAAACTCGTTCTCCACCAAGTCTGTGGCTAAACTTACCTCCTCACAGGCCTGATGCTGGCGGGCTAACAGTGCCTTGCCCAGGTCAATGCAAGAGGTGAAACTTTTATTCCTGGCATCAATCTCTGCCCTGATTCCCTGATGGTACTTCATCAATAACTCCACAGAAGAGACGTCCCTGTCATTAAGCAACAGCAATAGATTCATTTTAGTAACAAAGAATTTGCATCTCGTGTCAAACCTACAGAATGAATGCACGAGACTTTGAAATATGATGTTCGAAAAACAGTATTTGTTATTAATCAACGGTTAATGCTCGAGAATGTTACAGTGGCAAAGTGATCCAGAACATAGGCCTCAGCAAGGAATGACTTTGGCCTGGTCATTCCACCACAAAAAAACACTGATAAAACCTACTCATCCGAGCAAGTTCCTCAGAACATATAGCTATGTCCGTGCTTGTACAGAATAATACAAGCTCCAGTGATTGGGATTAAGAAACAACTTGGTGGGTGGGGGTCACAGGTTTCACTATACGCGCGCGCGCACAAACACACACACACACTCTCACACTTGTGATTCAGAACAGAAGCTGCAGACTCTGGCCAAGCATTATTCAAGGCGTTAATAATGATAAGTCCTATTTGTTCTTCCCATTTCCTGAAATGCCAGTGATACGGTTTTAAACTTCAAGACGACTCTTTGCGCTATTCCAACGTACCGTGGTTTCTCTTCTGTTTCAATCTGCCTGATAATGCTCTCCATCCAGGACATCAAATCTCGGACCATACTGAAGAAGCGGAATTTGTCAGCAGTGTCAATCAGCTGTGTGCGACGACCATCACAGGCATCGAGAAGAGCTTTCCACGCCTCAACCACCTCTTGCTCTTGTTTCTGGATTGCTGTGGCTTTGTCCCCTGCGTACGCTGTCTGCAGATGACCTGCATCATCCTGAAACTGCTGTACCTGCAACCAAGCAATCCAATTCCTCATTCATGCTAAATAAATGGAGAATGTAGTGCTGTTTCACACGCTATCCCCTTTCAGCTGTACCAGACGTAACTAACCATTTTCAGTCTGGGCACATACTTTTTAGGGTCACTCCACTTTGAAGCCAATTTCAGATTTAGCGCAGGTCCCAAAACTATGGCCAGGTAAAGTTAATGTAGTGAGCAATGTGATGCTGACCGGTGTCATATAGGGAGAATGGACACTGAGCTCACGGTATACAAGAGGGGAGAACAGTGGCAACCAATAAAAACCTAAATGAAAGGGTGAATTTACTGAGATTGAATAATCTAAAAGGCTATTGGGATCGTGATGAGTCCACAATAATACGGTCAGATACTTTTGAAGAGGATACGATAAAGGTGTTTGTTTTATAAAGCAGCAGGTGAATATAGAGCATTGTAATGTCAATTAATAGCTGGCAACTGCAATTTCATTGTGCACAAAAAACTTTCATGTGGAATAAAAAGCTATAGTTATGAGATCCCTTCAAGTTTAAAACACACACGGCGATAAGTGTTGAAAGACAAAACAATCAGAATTAGAGCTAAATCTGCAAGATTTGGCTGTAATCACCCGTTCCTGGAAGTTTGGATAACACATGCACAAGTGGGAGTAATTGTGACATGAAGTGTTCAGTCGCTCGGTGTACCTGGATTCCAAGGGCATGGATATCCCTTTCGAACGTGTTGTGCATTCTGTGAAAAGACTCCGCTGTGTTTGCGTCACGGCCCAGCTCCTCTGGCAACTCCTTGTGCTTGTCCTGTATTAAGCTCAGAAGCTCTTTGCCGTCGTAGAAGAATTTGTGGAGTTCATAGGAGGCAGCCAGCAGCTGTGTGCGAGTGTCTATCAGTTCCAACAAATCGGCCCAGGCCTCGTTCAAAGTGTCTTTCCAGTCTGCAATGTCGGCTGCTTCTGAATGACCGGCATCAATGAGATCATCTATCAGCATGTTCACACTGTCCATTCTCTCCTGACCAATTGTCCCCGTCTCCCGGGCAAACTCACGGAATTTTTCTCTCAGCAACTGAAAAAGAATACCGAAACACACACAAACATGGTTGTTATACATTTTACGTACATAGATAGAAAAAAAAGGAAACAAAGAAAGCCATTCATCACCTCTGGAATAAGTTCCCAGGGAAGAATTTCAGTAGCAATCGGGGTTAAAGGGCAAATTAATATCTTCCTGGACAGAAAGGAGTCATCAAAATGAAATTATGAGAAGGTAATTAGCTGGGATGGAGACTGATCAAAATGCCTCAGTCTTATTCATTTTAATGTCATTTTTATGCTCTTAAAAATTCTATGCTCATACACAATCACCTGCATTTCATCTTCGCTTTGAATAAAAATACTGTAAATAATGATTGCGCTGTGCCACGTCTGGGAAACTTTTTCTTTCTCCCATCATATCACTCTCCTGCACCACCAGTGAAACCAAGTTGTATCTCATGATTGTCATCAACCACAATCAACAAATTGTGTCCAAATCTGAGGAATGGCAGGATTGAAACAAAGTTTGCAAATCAATTCCAGTGGATATGGATGGAACTGAGCGCTCTCTGGGAAGTGCAGTCCTCCCCATCTCACCATACCCCATGGCTGGCATAGAAACATTATTCTGCCATCTCTGAGGGTTCAAGAGGAGTTTCAGTGCACCAGCTAGTAATCAGCTAAGCACCCCATCCCCCTTCAGGGATCTCCTGTGGGAACTGGACGGACGAACTGTGTTAAGAGAATGGCTGACCACTGCCTCCATTGGAAGTGGAACTTTTTTGATGCCAAAGAGTCTGAGTAAGGAGCAATTTGTGAACACTCATTCAAAGTAAGAAGTGGCCTCTTATACATTTGATCTCTGCAATAATAAGGAATAAAGTTTCTTTTGATTGAACAGGATGTATTTTTCTTTACCCGAGCATGCCGACACTTGCTGTTGAGGTATACATAAATAGTGCCAATGAATACTCACAATAACTTGATCGAAGTCTTGCCCTAATTCCTGTGAAGATGCTGCTAAATCCTTCTCTGCAATCCACTGCTCCAGATCCATCACCTCGCGGTTCAGCTGGAAGAGATGGTACATATTCTGCAGTTTTCTCTTACGCTCGTCTGCTAGATCCCGGAGTCCTGCGTACAGCTTGTCCACCTGTCCTTGACGTCGAATGATCTGCTCACTGTAAGTAAATCAGACGGTCAGTAAGTGGAGGACAAGGATCAATAATAATAATAATAATCCTTGCATTTGATATAGCGCCTTATTACATCTTCGAGATATCTCAAGGCGCTTCACGGAATATACTGTAAAGTGAATTGATTGTATATTTTGTGGGCGAAATGCGCCAGCCAATTGTGCGCAGCAGTGTCCCACAAACAGTTGTGAATTGAATGACCAAATTTTTTTTTAAAAGGATTATTACCCCCAGAAAGCGATCTGCCAATCGACTAACAACTGGGTTCCTACTTACCGCTAGGTAAAAAGAGGTGTGTGTGTGTGTTTGTGGAGTAAGGAAACTTGCCCAATCATTGAATCATGGGCTTCACCATTGTTGTTGGCCTCTATATAGCATATGGGCTACAGATAATTACAGAGTGTTTTTTATTTAACTGTGAGTGCTACCTCTGGAATAACTATAATGAAATAAAGTGGAAATTGTACAGAAGTCATTGTTTGAAAAATAAAATATGATAATTGTTGTTTTCTCCCAAAATGAAGTCACCCTCTTGGTCAGTTGGTACTTCATCTCAATAGGCTGCGGTTCCTCAAGGGCGAGTGAGTAATGAATTCAGTGTTATTCTCTTAGTTCTTTCCTGCAATAACTTATCCTTTGGAGTGAGAATGTTTCTAACATTAATAAGAGACTGTCTGCTCTCGCCAGTTTGCTCTTTGGTCTGATAATTGGCTCTGATGAATGTTGTTGATTGCATGTTTGTAGTGATGGTGCTTCCTGCAGTCAGAGATTGTTAAATTTCTGCTACTCACCCCTCAGGGTGTTTTTCAGCAAAAAGGCTTTGAGCCCTGTCTGCGAGCAGTTGGATCATCTGCCCATAATTTGTCACGGCCTGCTGCAAGGTCAAGTGCTTCTTCACCATTGAAGTTGCACTGGTTTCATCCTGGAAAAGCCAGATCAAAGTTACTAACACATACATATCTGGAAAGCAAAGTCAAGATGCAACACATTTGTCAAAACTCGTTCCCGCCTTCCTAATTTGAGAGTTGCTGCACAACTCACTCAAAAACATCTGTAGCCGACCCAAATTAAATATATTATGAGCGTATCTAAACATAGTTTAGGCAGGCAACCCAGTAATGGAATACAGAGCAAGTTTAAACACACATGCATGCACACTCAGAACGGATTCCTCGTAGCAAAGGGGTGTCTTTGTTTTAAGGAAATACTATCCAGTTTGCTCCAATTGAGTCTTCTCCCTTCCCAGTTGATCACCAAACACCAGATACAATGCAAGTGCAAAAACCCATAGCACAGATAATCACACCTGCTACCTTTTGAAAGATAGATAGCAGTGAGCAAATTACTAGGACAAAAATAGGAAGAACATTTTGTTTGAAATCTTCTTATATATTGAATCACAGCGATTCTGATCACCCACAAGCCTTAAACCACAGTAGCTCCTGCAGTTGGGGATGGAGATGGAATATCCTTGGGATCATAGTGCATTTGAGCAGGCAGGAAAAAATGGGAAAGAAAGACTTTCTAACTAATGGAGGGAAGCACCAATAACTATCCTTTACCCAATGCAGAACTTTGTTAAAGCTCTGTTATTTCAACAAAATGTTTTGCAACCTTCTGAATGATCTTCAAACCTGGCAATCACATTTTCTTCAGTGTTTAGCTCCTCTTTATGTCCTACCAGTTGTTTACCGGGAATATTCATCATGTTTTCCAAATGACAGTTAAGTTAATATCAAGGAAACTTGCCATCAGAGCCAATAGTGAAAAACAAAACATTCAACATTGAGAGCACTTAACAAATGTCAGTCTATCCTTCTGCTATACCATAGATGCACGTGCAATTTTAACTGGAAATTTTTGAGAAACAGACACTCTGATTTATCACATTTAGTTCTGAAATCAAGAGTCTAATTTCAACTAATGCAATGGATAATAGAAGAAATAACAATAGAAACTAAATGACAATAAAAACAGAAAAGCAACTGAAAAAAAGAGACAATTAATCTGATCCAATAACCAAGTGAAACATCAGGAATTATTATTAATGATGTACCTTTGCTTTCTCATCATCAATCATGTACAGTTCCTGCTCACTCATCCAAGCTTCAGCCTCAGCTGCATCCAAATAATACTGCGCGGATTCATTTGCGGCGGCTAGTCGGTTCTGCCTTTGTTCTGTCTCGTCCTTTAACTTGTCCCACAATCCATTCAACTCTCCCAATTGCTCCTTAATAGCATGCAGGTCAGGGCTTTGTTCAATCATATTTTCTCCTCTTTCCAACACGTCATCAATGCGCGGCTGATGGCCTTGGATCTCCTTCTGTAGAGTCTATGGAACCGGAGAAAAGCTTGAATCATTGACAAGAGTTTATCAAATGAACCACCCTTACAGTTAAGTGCAAGTAACCCTTGCACTGGTAAGCAAACATTACCAATATCCTTCCATGGGGAAGAAAGTCATACACAGTAATTTAAAGTAAAAGATTTTGCATGACTTTTTTCACAGGGTTCAGCTGTACGAATAGTGACTGCTGTGTTGAGAACTATAGCAATAATTAATAATGTTGACTAGAGGGATTGAAAAATGACAGATCTTTACAAAGTGTTCACTGGTATTACATACTCTGTTCTTTTTCATAAGGAGCTGCACTGTCTGAAGGTTGTGGCCATGGTCAGTAGATGTTGCAATGGGCATTCGTTCCTGCACCCAGAGCTGAAAGAGAACACACCAAAGTTTAACTTCCCACAAAGCAAAACATCTGCATACTCTGTGTAAATTATTATTTGCATAAACCTATTATTGCACAAGGAAAATATAATTTCTTACAATTTCATCTTTCAGGTCACGATAGAACTGAAAAACAGCCTTGGACGCAATGAGTTTCTGGCGTCGATCCTTCAGAGGCTCCATCAGCTGTGTAAATAGGTTGTTTATATCCTTCGCTTTTGCCTTTGATTCTTCCTGTTGGGCCTCTGCTTGCACTATAAGCTCCTCTAGCTCCTTCTTTCTGATTTCCACCTGATTTTCCATCATCTATCCAAGTGAAATAAATAGTTTTAGCAGTTGTTCTCAATTCTTCGTGAGAAGACATAAGAACATAAGAATTACGAAAGAAGACCAAGGTCCATCCAGGTCTCCTACCACCATCCTGGTAGTCCCAGGCACATGTCATGTCCCAAACTATATACTGTATCTCACAATATTATTTCCTAAAAGAAATCTATTTAATTTGCTTTAAAGACATTTTATCTGAAATGTGATTCTACTTCACTAAGGTTACTTTGGAGTGTCTTTGAAAAGTCTTTACAGTAGCACAACATCTGACACACAGCTGATCAATCAATTTGTACCATTTGTCCTTATTACAAAAGCGATTTCATGTCAGTATCTTGATTTGAAAGTCTTTAGATTTCGGGGCAATTGCACCAGACCTATTGGTGCAGCCGAGGGCCAAGCAATTGCGAAAGACCAGGACTTTAAAACCTGGCAGAATGTTTCCACTCACCCCATATAACGCATTACTCTGCATTGTTGAACAAGTGTAGAAAATAGGATTCCAATTATGAGCACATAACAAAGTTTAGTTACATTCAAATTATATTTGGAAAATAAACGACTGCTTTCGATAAAAGTTTTTTTAAACTATTAGGTTAATCAGACTGTTGGATTAGAGAGGTTGCTCACACAACTCATCAAGCAAAAGAATTAATATTAAGCATCTTCCCTAAGAGATTATTGACTAGCATTGTGTTATGCCTTCCCCTTACCTGCAATTTTTTCAGGAGGATGTTGACACTCGTCAAGTCCTTTCCAAAATCTTTGGATTGCAGCTGCATCTTCAGCTCATTCATCCATTTAAGAAAGTCCGCGCAACTCTGTACAAACAGCTCTGACCGGTTTGCACTGAACAAACGCCGTGCCTTTTCTTGGGTGGTGGAATCCAGCTCTTCCCACAGACAATACAGTTCATCCAGTTTCTCGGAGATGGCTGGTTTAAACTCCGGTTTTTCCTGCATTAGCTGCTTCCCTTCCTGCCATCAGGGAAAAACCATCAGACAATGTAAGCACTAACACTGACATCGCTTTCTAAGCAGCAACCAATTATTGTTATACGATTGACTTTCAAGATTCTGCTTTTATTGCCTTAATGCTGTTCCACAGAAGGAGAAGTAGTTACCACTGATCTGCAACAATACAACAGTAATTGTATGCTGGTGAACTTTGCAGTCTTTGGACTTACTCACATTAAACTACCGAGCTTTCAGAAATGTTAGTAATACAGTATAAAACTGTTAAAACGCAGACGGCTAGATTGTATTTGCATTCTGTATTGCTACGAGTGACAGTGCACCACAATACTGGATTAAAACAACTGTGAATTGTGCGGTGACTTTGTGTCTCGCTACAATCTTAAAATGTGACATTTAAGACTACAATCAATTTTTGCAGTTTATATCATATCACAGTTTAAAGCCTTCTTAAAGATATTAAAATATATGGAAAGTTCAGTCATTTTCTGCAATGTCCAAATCCCCCTTTTTGTTACAGAATTCCAAAATGCAGGGTGGTAATTCAGTTCAGCTGCAGAATGAATGAGTGAATATACCAAGGATATACCATGAAGAAGAATGGGATGTAGTTTATATCTCGTCAGTGAGCTGATCTCATAAGTGACAAGTTACAAGTGATGGTAGATTGCACCCACAGCTCCTGATGGTGCATTGTCCTTGATGCCATGTCATGTTTTGAAAGATGGATGTGGGTTTTAGATTTAAATGAGAAGTAAATTGATGTGTGGGTTGTGGAGTGCCTCTGATGAATCTCCTGGTCAGAGATCTGCCTGTTTCCAGCTTTATCACCACAAAATACTAAATCATAATTTTTAACCCTGATATCATTGCATGCAGCAACTCTACACCATAAAGGAAATATTACTTGTCTAATGTAAATTGCTTTGACTTAAACCTTTAACTGGAAATTTATAATCATTGCTCAGTCCAACATTATATAACGATATACTCAGTTAAACTACAATTATATCTAAGCATGCTAATCCCAAATTAGAATATGCCCATTACATAGATTTGTACATTGATACTTGCATACATCAATGGATATATTAACGTTGGTTAATAAGCTATTTCCAATTAAATAACACTATTGGAACCCAACAGTTTTAAAATTCAGATTTAAGCTTCTAATTTAATCCCTCAAACATATAATTGCGTTTCCTCCCGTACTTGTGTGTCCAATTCATCCACACAGATTTCAAAGTTTTTCATTGTATTGCTATTCGTTATTCAATTTGCTATAACCATTGTAAATCTTTAATGTTTGGATGTTAAACAGACACAAGCAAAATAATATTTAAAAAGTCATGCTTGTAACAACAATGACTTAGATGTGGTGTACATTGCTCCCACCTGTAAATAATATTTTGAATCCTGTAAAATGCATTTCCAAAAGAATAAAATGACAAATTAAAATCATTGAGTCATGCTATCAAATGTTTTACAATTTTATCATAGAGGTAAAACAATGAATTAAATCTTGAGAGTGGGAAGATTTCTTGGGGGTGGGGGAGAGGGGGAGAGGAAGACCGCATTGCTGAAAGCTCTCAGAACTTGAGTCTAATTCCTCAGCTCAGTTTCACCTTGTCAATTTTGTTCAGCCGCTCCTTGTTTGACACCAGCTCAGCCATAAATGCTTGGTGTTTCTGCCACTTGGTGTGAAGGTTGCGAGCCTCATCATAAGATGTGTCTTGGGCTGTCAGCATCTTCTCATTGATCCAGAAAGTAAGCTGCAACCAGAAAGAATCACTGAACAATGACCACAGTGCCACTCTGGAACTGAAAAGATCAGTTAAAAACGTGCCACTAAAAGACCAATTTTAGCTTGCAACAATTATAATAAAAAGTAACGCTTGCAATTACAGTATTGGCATAAAGTATCTCAGTTGCGTAAATTGTTAGTATTCACAGCTGGCTTAAATCCACAGAGTGTCACAAACCTCTTGGCAATTCTGCAAGAAATGCTGAAGGTCATAGTTGTCTTTTAGATGTGCTGCCATCTCCTTTGCGTTCACTTTGTTCTTTTCGTATCTAGAATAGTTGCACATTTACAATTAGAACAGGGAAAAGCAGAGGGAATTGGCTCTTATAGGTGCACATTCTCCCAGAGCCTATCTGAGACAATCATGTATTTGGAGCTCACCTTTCATCAATAGATTGGATCTTGTCGCTCACTTTGTCCGCAAAATTGTTTCTATCACTAATGAGTTTCTTTCCTTCCTCAATTGTCCCAATGATCTTATCTTCGTTGGCATCCATTGTTGTCATGAAGTCCTCGTGCTTCTTAATGGCACTTGCCGCTAATGGCAGTGTGCTTGGCATTTCCACATGTACTAAAGTATATTCCTAAAGGAAATCACGGACAGTTTATCCAAACCATTTTCCACCATAAATTTATGGATATAAAGATTGTGTTTGTATAGTGTGTTAAAAGTAACTTGATCAACATCATTCACAGTTCTCAGTGCCCAATTTAAAAGCTGCGATAGATAGAAACTGGACTTTCAAAGTTGAAATCAGCGAGACTATTTCAGTTACCCTTTTCAAATCGGTCCCCAACATAACAAAGGACAAGTACAGATGCCCACCCTATTACAGTGTTCTCTACTTTGCCACTGTTGAAGTGGATCAAAGTTTGTCTGCCCTCAGCCTTCTTTTAAGCATGTGGGATTATAACCCCCAACCTACTTTTCCAAATAAAAATAGCAAAATATAGGAACCATTGAGTACCTGGTTGTTGAGAATGCGGTCTGATTGCTTGCTATCTCTGAGAAACTGCTGGTAACCATGTGACTGAGTGTGAAGATCCTTCCTGTTCTCCCACAACTGATTGAGTTCATTCCAACCAGTGTCCAGCTCTGTGAGGCGCTCCACTAGTATTTGAAATGCTGGGTCCGTTTCTTCCTGTGTTATCATCTTGCCGGTGTCTCGGACCTTCTGATAATCTTCCTCATAGTGGTTGATTTCGTTTTTGATGGCACTGTGCTGCCGGAGGAGGGCTTCAGCTTCTGGCAACGAGTTTGGCACATCTTCGGAAGCAATGGCTTTTTGTGATTTTGATAACCACAACTGAAAGTCTTCTAATTCTTGCAGGAACTTCTGTAACTTGCTGGCTTCTCCGAGCGACTCCTCCCGGCCCTGCAGGTTGTGTTTCAGTTCTTCCCAGACATCATTGATTTCCTTAAGCCGGCTCAGGATATCTACAGCGTGCTCGGGGTGCTCAGAGGCCAGTTTGTGGGCCTCGGTTTGCAGCTCTGGAAGCCTTGATTCAATAGCCGCAAGATCCCTCTCGATTCCACAAAGCTTCCTTTGAATGGTCATGACACCAGTTAAGTCATTTCCTAATTCTTGGGTTGATTCGATGAGTTTGGTTTTCTCACAGATCCAGACTTTGGTCTCGTCACACTCAAGGTAGTAATTCTGAAGACTTAATGCAGAGTCCACGCTCTTCTTTTTCTGCTCAACTAGCTTCTGGATAAGCATCCACCTGCAAGGAACATTTGAGAATGAGAATGTTATTAGTGGAGAGGCCAGGTGCATATTCTTTCAACGGACAAATTGCGTCAGGAAAATAGTAGCAGAAATCTCACCAGTACAACTCTTTTGAAATCAAAACTTTTTTGGGGTTCATTTTGAAAAAAAACTTATTGAAGAATGTTTTTGTCATGCACATATTGGGATTTATGGTAAACAATTTAGTGATTTTACATTGTTGAATCTCATATTTTATGATCATGAGAAAATATACAAACCAGAAATGTCCAGGCCTCCTTGGGTGGAGTAATTATTAGAGTTTCAAAAATGCTGCACCGTGGAGATACAGGAGATTAAATTCCACTCATTGTGCCTTACTTGCTATGTTCCTGATGGTGACTATATTATTGTATAACTTATATTACAGTTTCAGCTGTGTACAATCCCATTAATTTTTCATTCCATCTTGCAGTAAAAATATACCTGGGTGTACTCAGCCCATTAACAGCTCATAAATAATGCAGTGTTTTCGCTACTTAAAGCATTAAAGTTTACATGAACAATAAATCTATACAAGAGAGGCAGCGCCAATTAATTATTTATAACAATGTTTGTGTACAACATCTTCCTGTTCTGCAACTTTTAATGGCAAATGCGATTAAAGACCTGTAATCTGGGATGTAGTGATGTGTTGCATTTCTAAAACGTAATTTGTTAGTTATCTTAACTACAGATAAAATAAGCATTGTTTGAGGTTGTCATCAAAACAGAGGGCATTTAAAACAGTGGTTAAGGAACTCAACATTGATACTAAAAAGCCAATCTGCGGTATTTGTCCAAAGCTTAAACTGTATTTAACTTAAGCCTGATGTATTTTTGTAACAGATTTGATTGGTTTGTTACTGTGGAAAATTATATCTATCGAGGGACTTCACTGTTCTTTCAGCACCTGTTTTGCAATATTCCTGCATACAGCTAAATTGGAACTGTAGACATCAGAATATAAATAGCCCACGGTTGCTATGCTACAGAGAGAAATCTCTGAGGCAGAAGATAGCAAAGGCAACCAATGCTGAAAGCAAATTTTCACCACTCATCAAAAGTGTTGCCAAACAGGTCTTGGGAGGCTGGATAATGTACTGTCCTTTCCCCTACATCCCTGGCTTTGCATTCAGCAATTAAAATCTTCCTGCTCCCTGCTCATTGTAATGTGAAATGAGTTGAAATGGTGACCTTAATCTTTCACCTCAACAAATAAGAAACACCATACAAAATATGCAGCAAGTGGTAAACAAATGAGTCATTTACCTATGATTCAGATGGTCTTGACATTCTTTAACTTCCTGGGTACTTGGGTGACCAGTCTCCACCAGATGGGTTGCTGCATTATTTACTTCCACAATTCGAGACCCCAAATTATTCACTTCCTGCATTAAGGTTTCAAATCTATTGAAAGACATTAGAAATAACAGATTGTATCATTCCTTTAAACATAGGCTTAAGAAGACATCTTTAATCAAGATGTTTGACTTTTTACATAATACAGCACCACTGATATTAACAAGTAATTCTTAGTGAAAATTTTTTTAATATATAAATTGCATTGAACGTAGACATTTATACTTCAGTGCAGACATCATTTTGCATCAATACAAATAATTGCCTGCTGTCAATAGTTACCAAGATAGCACTGCCCAACAGACCTCGCATCACACTTTAAAATTTGAATTGAATTTAAAATAATAAAGAAAGAATATTGACTTGGAGCTGAACATTGACAAATAACTTACAGCCCATGGAAGTTATAAGGGTAGAAATGAAATACGTGAATCTGTGATTAAGACCTGTGATAAGATTTTGTGGGTTTTGTCCACAAAATATACAGTCAATTCACTTTACAGTATATTCAGTGAAGCGCTTTGGGTCATCTCGAAGACATGATAAGGCGCTATATCAAATGCAAGGATTATTATTATTATTATTTCAGACTCTACCTGTGCTGCACGACTTCCAGATCCTCCAGTTTCTTTGGTACCTCCAAACCCTCCAGCCACTTTTCTTTCTCAATCATCCACAGCTCACAGGCATCAGCTTCACTAAACATTCTGTAGAGAGCAAGAGCATCCTGCAAACGCTGTTTCCGTGCATCTGACAGAGCCACCAGATCAGCATATATCTCTCTTATCTCGTTTTGTTGGTCTCGTATCTCTGGGAGTTTCCTGAATTCATCTGGGAGCCTCTGTGCCTGCTTATTCAGAGCATCAATAGTTTGTCCACACTTCATGATTTCACCCGTCAAATCTTTATGCTTCTTTACCAGTGTTTGTGTTGAAAATTCATCATGCCCAACATCATCAGTGGACATGATTCGATCAATGTCCTGCAGCCAAGCCTTGAGATCATTTGCATCGACTTGGAACTGGAAAAAGTTCCGAGCGTCCTGGAGATTTTGCTTGCGGAAGGCAGCCAACTCTTCCAAATCCTTCAACCTAGTAAGAACTTCATCAATTCGTTCCATAATCTTAGGTGAGGCAAAGTGTTTCTCCGCAATCATATCCTTGCCATCCTTTACCGTTTCCTGCACCTGAGCTCTGAGACCAACCAGTTCATCCTCCACCGCCTTATGTTTGTTTTGCAAGATGACGATGCTGGTAATATCTTTCCCATAATCTTGTGAAGAGAAGATCTGCTCCCTTTCATTGATCCAGCCCTCGGTTTCGGCCATCTCCCAGAAGAACCTCCACAATCGACGGGACTGCTCAAGCTGGGCTCTGCGTTCAGCTGCCAAAGCGCAAAGGTCTTTGTAACACAGCTCCAGGTGGTTAACACGATCCTTGATCACATTAGGATCACACGGTGTGTAACCTGGAAAACAGAATCACAAATACATAGTAGTTCAAAATAATGTGGTAACTGACTTAAATTGATCTGAAAACCTGCCATAAAAAGCCTCACAGAACAATTTTATATTGATCAGAGACTCTCAAATGTTCCTAATTCTATAGTTTTTTGCGCTCTGTGTATTTCTCCTTTATTTAATTGCTCTATTATTAGGGGAATACATTTGGTTTCATTGAGGGATGAAAAAGCTCTCAATACTTCCGTCTTCTAATTTTTTTCTGATAACGAGCGTGTTATTTACACACATATGCAATCACACAATCCTGTAAACTCTTCATAAGTGGGTGGAGTGATTAAAACATGAAATTGATGTCTGTGTCTGTTTCGAAGATGGGCTGATGTGTTTTCTCACCCAGTCTGATCATAAACAATTTAAACAGTACAGTATTTGAAATAAAGTCCTGTGGTAGAAACATCAATATGCACCTTCTCCTTCAGTGAACTTGAGTGCCTCCTTATTGACTAACTTCACTCTGTCAGCCTGGACTGCAATGTCAGCTTCCACCAATGCATGTTTCTGTAACAGATCCTCTACACCCATCAGGTGTTTACCAAGGTCCTGGGAGAGCAATCGTACCTAAAATAGTAAAGAAATTAGGATGTGAATCCGTACAATACAAAATACAGTATATTACATCGGCACAATAGCTATGTAATGATTATTTTAATAGAGACTTTGACCATTGAAAATGTTCAAACCACAAAAACACAGCCACTGCACTTTACGGTGCATCCCGTGAATCGTTTTGGGACATCCTCCCTACGTGAAAGGCTCTATTTCAAGTGTAAGGATTATTATTAATTATGGTAGAGCAGGAAGTATCTGAAGTGATATTAATGACTAAATCTGGCATCTCTAGGGTAACGAGAATACTTCTGCTAACGTGAACTTACTTCCCTTACACTGTCTGCAGTTCCTACAAGCCATTTCTCCTAACTACGTCATTACAGCTCATTTTCGAAGTAGAAACTATAATTAAATTTGAAAAGAAAATCAGGAAAAAGCAAAAAGAGGTTGACAATCAATTTTTTTAAAAAAAGGGTTATCAGCAGTGAGGCTCGAAACATTCTCACAGCAGATTCCAGCTAGTCAAGAACAGCCTTTGTCCCACTAGAGCTAACTAAGCAAATACATGAATTCCCCTTTTTGCTTGCATTAAAATCGACACGTACTTTCATTTCATCCATCCAGTCAATGATGTGCAGCATCTCCTGGAAGATCTTTTGAAGGTACACGTTCATCTCAAGCCTTTGCCGGCGAGCGTTGAGCAACTCCAACAGGTACTCCCAGAGTCGCATGATGTTGTCCTTTCTGGCGTTAATGCGCTTGATGTCATGGTAATTCTCAGCCTCCAGCTCATTCGACACGTCCACGAGAGCTTGCACTCGTTCCTCATAAGCTGCGATGTCAGTCTCGATGGCCTCATGTTTCTTCATAGCTGCTTCCACAGCAGATAGGTCATAGCCAAAGTTATCCTGTGGGCCAAACGAATAAAAGAAACAATCAATACATATAAGAGACTAAAACCTCTCACCAACGAGACAGCACGGCTACTTGTTCTTGCAAAAATAAAAAGCAGGCTCAGCCATTGAACAATTCAAAGGAAAAGAGTTCTTGGACGTCAAAACTATTTAGAAAAAAACATGCTTAGCTTTACAATAGAGCAACAGGCCACTGAGGAATCTATTTTTCTTATGGTATGGTAACATGCAGAGCGTTATGTTAGTCATAAGCACCAGCACATTCAGACAGCCACTGGAGCAGCTCAATGGATCAGAAAATAATTTGTCATGAATGAAAATAAACTAGCTGATCACAAAAACGTTCTAAGAATACGCTACTGGAATACACATTTTGTTCTCGGATTGAAGTATATGCATTCACCAGTTGATCCGCTGCAGTACGACAAAGATTAGGAAAAAACAAAGGAACAAGCGCCTTTATCTTGACTATAAAAGTCTGAATAAACAGGTTCAAATAAAATAGGAGAGAAGATGGTGAGCTGATTAAAGCACAAGGCAACGCCAAATGGTTTCACCAGCTTAAACGTCCACATTCAAGAATAGAGCCTGTACATTCAGCCAATATAGCCACTAGTAGATAGTTGCATTAGAGTGTGTGGTGCTCAATGGGAATTTGAAATAGTTCCAGGAGGCGAATAACTTCCACTGTTAACACGAAGGCCGTAGAATGCAGGAATCTTAATTAGGAAACGTGCCCACTTGCCCAGCCAATTGCTCAGATTGCTGGATTCTAATGAACTATCTACTGGAATAAAGAAAAAAAAACCAGCACTGAAGTAAAACTGACAAAAAAAAAAGTTATTAATACTTTGCCTTCACCATCCTGATTTGCTGCTACGTAAAACAATTTTTTTGGTGAAAAGAAAACAATTACTAGGTGAGGGCGAAGAGTTAAAGAGACACAATACGAGAGATTTTCAACGACTGAATCAAATGAAATGTTAGTGTTGGAGAAATGATTACACTCAAAGTGTTGGAGAAATGATTACACATAATTTTCTGTTCATATACTTACATTTTCCAAACAAAATGAAGCCCGTGTTTTAACAACTCCTTCTAAATAACTCATTATATGCATCCTACCCTTTGAAATTTAAATGGTATTTACTATATAAATAACCTCTCGAATAGCATCTACCTCCAAATGATTTATTTAATATTCTTAGATGTTGACCTTTACTAGGTACTTTGCAAAGAAAGACTAACATGGGAATATACTTTCTGGTGCTGAAATGATTTGAGGTTCCTAGGACCTATTAATGCATTGTGGTAAATATTTCATAGTCGTTGCTCACACAAGGCTGTTCGGTCTATACATGCAAAGACACACGTATGCATCAGTGTAATCAGCACTAATTAATGTTGTATGTTCTGCCCAACGGGGAAAGTCAGGGAAAGTCTGATCAGGTTGCAACATCAAATATAAAATTACTTCACAAAAGCGAGCGTATTATTCTAATCCATCAATTACATAGAAGGAATGGAATATTTAATAAGGGTACTCCTTTCACTAGCACCATGATGATGGCTGTAGTGTGCTATAGTTCTTCATTATTATCTTGGTTAAAGCACCCCAGAACAGATGGGGATTGGGGCAAAAATAAAATTGATCTCAATTTGCAAACGCCTGAATGTCACTGTCTCTATAAAATCTTTACCTTAGATTAGGTGATTCCATCTACATGCAATATTCAGGTAGGGGTCTGGCCAATGATCAAAAAACCTAGCAGCGGTATCTGGCAATAATATAACTCCCTTTGTGTTGCAGTCCATCCCACTACTGTTGCAACACAGTACCTTTTATTGACCTTTGCAAATCAATTTATCCACAATACCTGTATCGTCTAGGTCTCTTTCCTGATCTGCAGGGTGTACACTGTTCCTTTCAACATCTATTCCCTTTTATCTCCTTCTGGTTCTAGCTCTCATGGGCAGTGCCAAGGACTCTCCAAAAGGGGAGAGAAAAGAATCAACAACATCATCCCACACACTTCCTGTGCATCTCTAAACAACCTGTTCAACAACACAATTGGGAGAAGCCATTGAATGGGTTCTTGTCCTCAATCAATCTCTCCACCTCCCGCTCCCACACACACACTTAGTCGATGTACTTAAGAGTGTTTATAAGAAGAAATAGGAGAATATACAGCCAGAAATATGTGCATTTGTAATGTCTTGTATGCAAAATATACTCCAAGAGCAATTTATCAATTCTGCTGATTAGAATTCATTAGAAATTTACAGATTAGAGACACAAGTATATTTTTTATTGGAAATAAATCATTTGTGCAATTCGAAAACTAATAAGGGCTTTCAGTGATCAGCTCTTATTAATGATCTGGAACATTGCAATATTCTTGATTTATTTGGTGTGCGTGGTTTTCTTTACCTGTGAAACAAGCCGCTGATTTTCACACATCCAGGTCTCCCGCATGAGTGCCTTGCGGTCAAAACGTCGAGCCAGCTGCTCCAGCTTCTCTTGTCTGATCAGCTCATTTCTAAGGGCCAGTTCGCGTTCATGCTCCGCCTTCTCCAGTCGTTCCCATCCCTATTGATGAGCACAAGATACAGACAACATAAATCATACCGGATTCTCCTCGCAACCAACTCACACCATTAAGAAGCCTGATTCTCATAAAGTTGCAGACTTTGACAAAGTCTTCTGATCAACAACTAATCCAAATCGAGGTGCAAGTTCTTCTGGAGATTGTAAAACAGGATTGTTGAATGAGCCATTTTACTAATGGCTCAAGTATATTTGCTGTGCATCAATTCATGTGCTACAAACCTGTATTATAGGTTTCTAAGCACTTTCTTTTTAAAATCCTAGGAAATATTAAGAATTTTGTCTCTCAGACGGCTACTAGGATCTGGAATTCATTATTATACTGGAACACAGCAATAATATTGCATATTAAAATGGGTATCAAAAAAAGATCAAAATGTGAAAGTCTTCCACCTGAGGTTTACAACTAAAGCTTTTGCACAATTCCTAGTAATTGAAATAAGGATCAATTCACTTATCTGTGACTTGAGGGTAGAAAAAAACATTTACTTCTTCCTACAGCTAGAATCTGCTCTGAGCATATGCTTTAATGAACACTGAACTCCAGATGCTCTTCCTGTACAGGCACACATTCCCTGTATCAACAAGCCTGCCATAATAGGAAATGTTGTCTCACCAGCCTAGCTCTGATTTGAGCAAAGGGGTAAACCAACATTTTTAGAACTTGTGGGTTTACAAAATACAAAATCACATTTGTACAGCGCCTTTCAGGATCTCCCAAGCTGCTGGACGATTTTCTCTTCCATTTTTACCAAATTGGCCATTGGATCCAATGAGTGGACAAAGCTCCTACCCTGTTAATGTCCGAAATGAGTTTGCCTTCGTGCGGTGTGTACACTTTCTGGTTATTCGCTCTCATCTTGCTCTGAATGGAGAATAGCAGCACCTCGAGAGTACCTTTCTCTTCGAACCTGTGAGAGGATGGCAACGCGTCATGCTTTAGTTACAATTTGAAAGCAAACCTCTGCGTAAACGCAGCGCCTAAAAAAAATGTCAGATCAACTGGACAACAATCTTGTGAAAAATATTATTATGCATGGCAGGTTTAACAGCACAGTATTCCACAATGATTCGAAACAGTGCCCCATTAATCCACCCTGAAGAATACCACAGAAGTAAGCAAAAGCATACAAGCGCTGTTGGATTTAGTGTTGTTATCTTTCGCAGCTATTTGTACACACCAAATGATTCAGCCTTTGACTCTCGCCATGCCTTCCATTCTTTTAAATCTTAGATGTTCCATGAAAACATGTGCATTTAAAGCATCGAAGCAGCTTGCACTTATATAAGGCCCTCCACGCAGAGTAGCGTCTCAGAGCACCTAACAATGGCGGAGCCTGACTCTGAGCTGGTGGGAGGGGTGAGGTAGCCATAAGCACAGTCGAAGAGGAAAGTTTTCAGGATGGATTTATGTGCCAAGAGCAAATGTTTGATACCAACCTGTTTTTCGATCTCATCTGGTTTGATACAAATTCTCAAAGCTACGGCAGATACACAGATTGCGACTAATAATATTTATAAAGTGCAGGCGAGTGGAGCTCATCACGATGATGGATGTCAGTGGGAAAATAAATACTTTTTAAGATTTCGCTGTGCCTTGTATCAACATTGAATGCTCCCCGGAAATGTTTAGCACAGGTCAGAAGGGCAAAACTCTCTTTGGTTTTGCCCAATAACACGTCACCCATAGAACAGCCTTAACTAATAATAATCCTTGCAGTTGCCTGATGTGAGTTTTTTTTTCCATTGCCCAAGCCAGCCATCCTGCGGCCTCTCTGTGAGACTGGCATTGGGACAACTTTCTGTTCAATTTTGTGCTTTAATACTTGTTGAACTACGCATCAGACTCAATCTCAATTTCAGATTTATTTACCTTGTAAAAAGACAGACACAGGGCATCCAGGGCAAGATTCAAACCCATGACCCTGACATGAAACAACTGTGCACTCGTCAGCAATTTGTTCTTTCAAAGTTATTGAAGTTTGCATAACCAACTCTTTAATAACATTTAAGTTGAGTCTCTTGAAAGTTCTTGGGCTGCCCACTGGAGAAGTCACAATATAAATACAGAGCAAACAGAGCACCCCTGTCAGTACTGCAGTAGTTCTTATCCTGATATGACAACCATGTTACAACACATGCGCAGCACAAGAGAAACGGCATCAATGGTGACCTTATAACCTGAAAGTCGGCTATTTTTTACCACTGGAAGCAATTAGCGCATGGGACCAGTCAACTACAGACATCCACAGGTTGGAATTTAATGGTTCTCAGCTACTATAATATAAGGCTCCAATTTGTAAATTATTGAAATGTTAATTAAAAATCAACTCAAAACATATATTGTTCTCACAAACATTCCACGGTGTCTTCTCAATACAGGTTACCTTTTGCAACAATGCCACAGGGGATATACTATAATGGCAATAAAAGCATCTTAATTTGTTCAAAAATGAGAAACTTGTAAGAGTATTACACTAAGTTCTAAAACATACCTCAGCCTTACTTGCATAACTTACTTAGAAGGTTTCTCACTGTGCGGTAGTTGTTGAAAGCCTGTAGTTGTTGTTGGACTCCAGTCAAAGAGTTGGCAAACTTTCGGCTGTTGAGGATAATGATAGTCTGTTCAATCCAGGTCAACAGGTCAGAGGCCAATTGTTCGTATTTGTCGATCATTTTCTGGGTTTCAATTGCATTATCCAACACCTGAGTGAAGATGGAAGAGAGCTCAAGTCCGGCGATTAGCAATTAGCTAATTAGCAGTATGGCGGATCCATTATAGTTTAAGTTATAGTGTACAATATTACTTGAGTATAAAGTGATGATTAGTTATATCTAAACAGCAGTCATTTATCAAACAAACCTTTCCGATTCTCTTTCCCTCCACTGCTAAAGCCTTCATCTTAGAGAAATAATGATAAAATGCCACCACATAAGTGATTATTGATTTTTCATCTGGATTCTCTGTATAAACATCTGCAAGAAAAAGATGAATGCCATTTATTTTGGGAATTTTATAAAACAGGTACAGGCTTTATAATCAATTAGAAGACTAATGTTATTTGTGTCATCACACTGCTAGGTACAAATGACACCAAGAAGAATTTTAATCCAAACTATAATTTGCAATTTTACAACATGTTATGTCACAATGTCTCAAAGCATGACATGGGTTATTATATTAATAATAATCATAATAATCCTTGCATTTGATATAGTGCCTTATCACTTCTTGGAGACGTCTCAAAGCGCTACACAGAATATATTGTAAAGCGAATTGACTGTATAATTTGTGGGTGAAACACAATTCCGGTCAAGTGCGAGTTCAAGATGGAAACCAGGAAGTATATCTTTATCCAGAGCATAATTAAAGACTGGAACAGGTTACCGAAAAGGTGGACGAGGCCAGAACCCTGGACTGTTTTTTATGTGTAGGGTGGATATTCTGGAAGGATTAATTGAGATCAAATGGACTGAAGGGCCAAATGAATATTGTGATCATTTGAAAGTTACATAACGTCCAAACGAAACTTACCTTCAGGGTCAAGGAGTTTGGTCACACCCAGCTTCTGCTCTGCAACATTGAAGGCCTGCTGTAGGTTGTGGATGGGATTAGATTTTTTCAGTTTCTTAAAATCAATCACGTCAGGCCTGAAGAAGTAAAGACATGTTTCAAATAGGATTTGGTTTGTGTGTGTGTGTGTATGCGTGTTTTCCATTTAAAACATCAATGAATTGCAATGAATAATGCTTTCCCTAGAATCCCAGACTTTAGGAATGTTACCCAGAATGGACAAGAGACAATTGTGGGTCATTTTAAACAGACGTGTTTGGATGGGATTGTAGCAGGCAGCTTTACCTTAACCAATCACAAAACCCAGCTCCTGAAAGTGACAGCCACACATCCTACTGGCAATCGATAAAAAAAATAATCATTTGTTAACAGATTTGAAAAAAACTATGTTAATATAAGCTAAACAGAGGTACTGTACTTCCGAACATAAACAAATTACGGTTCTGGATAAGATCGTAAGGAGGAAAAAGAGAGAGACGAAGGGAAATTATTCTGAAACGAAAAACGGAGACGGTCTGAGTTATGCACACTTCATTGTAAGCCACACTTGATGGCCATCGCCTCACTCTACCTGTGCTTGTGGATAAGAGCATTGAATGCCATGCCATCCTTCCAGCTTGACGTGAAGTTTGTGATGTTTACATTAGGATACCTAGGCACAAAAATAAAGTGTTTCTTCAGTGCCGTTTTATCCACCCCAGATTCAGCAAAACTTTCAGACCACGAGCTTTGTGGTGGCAAGTTAAATTGAGGACAGAAATTAAAATAGCGCTTGTGCATTTACCCTGCTGTCTTCATCTGGCACCATAGGAGGAGGGCATCCTTTGCTGACCGAGTCTCACGGTTGTCGTGTGTCTCTACAGTGATATCTTGGATCTGAAATAACAGGTGACATTTGTAGAGAATAATGTTCAGTGAGGAGTGATTAAAAGCCAACAATCTCATGGGAGCTGCTCATGATGCCATAAATCATAACAGTAAAATGTGTTTACCTGAACACAGAGCAGTTTTCAGCCCTGGATTCGCACCAGGATCTGTATTTTTTTAAATCTAGATAGACTGTGATGTTTGTAGAGAAGTTTATCTCAATTTAAGCCTTTTATTTCTGTTGTCGCCTCAGTTCATAGTAGGTGCTTTATACCAGTGTCAATGAGAACTGTACTGAAGGATTAATGTGGAGTCCTGTAGCTCAGTGGTTAGAGCACTTGCCTTGCAAGCGAGACACCTGAGTTCAATTCCAGGCAGGACGAAACCTTGGGCAAGTTTCCATACTCCACACGCCTAATAATAATCCCTCCAAAAACAAAACAATAATAAATTGGTCATTTTCAATCCACGACTGTTTGTGGGACACCGCTGTGCGCAATTGGCTGCCGCGTTCGCCCACAAATATACAGTCAATTCACTTTACAGTATATTCTGTGAAGCGCTTTGGGACATCTGGAAGACGTGAAAAGCGCTATATCAAATGCAAGGATTATTATTATTCTGTGAAGCGCTTTGAGATGTCGAGAAGACGTGAAAAGCGCTATATCAAATGCAGGGATTATTATTATTATATTATAATGATTGCACCATAACCAAAACAGGTTTAGTGAATGAGCAGCAGGTGATACGTTGATCAGTAAACACTTTAACTTTAAATTGATTCACCAAGGGAATGAAACCACTCGAAAGATTACTTCTGTTCTGTATTAATTTTGGAGCTTCTACAACAATACCTGGTCATCTGGAGAAGAGAACATTTCATGTCTCGTGCTAATTATCCAATTACATGTCAATTATATAGACTAAAGAGGGAAATCGGTACAGTTGTGAAGACCAAGTGCATGTGGCTAGTGAGATAATGTTCAATTTGATAGAGAACTTCACTTATTCATAATGTGAAAGGGATTTGTAGAATGAAAACCCTTGTCATTTATTTCAATAAACCTACATTTCTTACAAGCAGCAGTGGTTATGCAACAGTCATTGTAGCCAAGTTTTTTGTTGGTCAGTGGTTAGGGCAGATTCTTGAAGACAAGGATAACAGATTCACTGTATGTTGCACATAATACAATAAAGCTGCTAGCAGCAATCTGAACAGTTTAAGTGATTGTCAATGAAATTAGCAGTATCCGATTTCCCTCCAAGTCTTGTATCTGGCACGTAATGCTACGTTACACCAAAATATGGCTCTAAGAAAAGACCAACAAAAGCAGAGTACAAGAATACGTGGATTCTTTAGTAATATCTCACCATGACATTTCTTCACATGTCTTTTGTTTTCCTGAGCATATTAATTGACTGAGCCAGAGGTCAAACAGTGAACTTTAACAAATAGTGAATAATTAACTCATTGGCAGTCCCGGCACTGACTCCCAAATGGCAAATATCCAAATGAGTCACCCTTGTGATCATTAATACCATAATTAGCTTTCAGTCAGATTTCAACAGGTTCACTCCACCCACATTGATGCAAGATGGGGCAAAATTGATAAGATCATATATTAGATCACACTTTCATCATGTGCTAGTGATTTGCTCTTTCCTCTCCTCCCACTCACGCTATGAACTCCTCCAATCGGGTTTCCATGCTGCCCACAGCTGCCCATGGAAACTGCTCTGGTCAAGGTCACAAACTACATCCTGAACTTGTGCGACCAGGGCTCCCTCTGCCTCCTCGTCCTCTCTGCCGCCTTTGACACTGTGGACCACTCAATCCTCCTCCACCACCTCTCCTCCCACCTCACTCTTCAAGGTTCTGTCCTTGACTGGTTCAGGTCCTACCTTTTGCACTGCCTCCACTTTGTCGCAGCAAATGGCTTCTCCTCCAGCCCCCACACCGTCTTGTGCAGCGTTCCTCAGTGCTCTGTCCTCACCTCTTCACCCTCTATATGCCCACCTTGGTGACATCATCTGCAGACATGGGGTAAATTTCCACATGTATGCGGATGACACCCAACTCTATCTCTCTGCCTCCACCCTCAACTCCAGGACCACTGGAGTCCTGTTCGACGGCCTGTCCAACATCAAGTCTTGGACGAGGGACAATTTTCTCCAACTCAACGTCAGCAAGTTCGAGGCCCTCCTGATTGGCTCGCGCCAGCGCATCTGCACCTCAGGGGCTGGCAGCGGCTGCACACTAAACATCACAAAGCTAGTCAAGAACCTGGGTGCCGTGTTTGACCCTGAACTGTCCTTTCTCCCCCACATCCACGCCATGACTGGCACTGCCTACTACCACCTCCGCAACATTGCCAGACTCCATCACTGCCTCACAAATCATCGCACACCAGGCTCCGTGACCCCATCACTCCCACCCTCACCTGACTCCACTGGCTCCCCATGCCTCAGAGGATCGAATTCAAAATCCTCGTCCTCACTTTCAAGGCCATCCATGGCCTTGCCCCCTCCTACCTCTCTGACCTGCTGACTCCGTACCAAAGTGCCCACTCCCTCCGTTCAGCGTGCTCCAGTCTGCCTCATGTCTCCCGCCCGACCCACCCTACCATCGGTGGCTGAGCTTTCAGCCTCTCTGCCCTCACACTCTGGAACTCCATCCCAAGGTCCCTTTGCCTCGCTTCCTCCCTTGCCTCCTTCAAAGCCGGTTTCAAGACCCTTCTCTTTGATCGTGTCTTCGGTCGCCCTCCCACCTATCTCTCTTCCCTCACCCCTACCCCACCCCTCCCCCGTGCTCAGGTCCTGACCCCTGACTGTCCAGTGCTTTGGGATGTCCTCCCAACATGAAAGACGCTCTATAAATGTAATTTTATTGTTGTTTTGTTGATGAGAAATGCATTCTCATCACATGCAAAGGGACAAAACCAGACTTTTAAGCAAAGGAATTCTATTTTGGAGAGCCACAAAGACATGGGATCTAAGACATGGATTTTTCCTCTTCCCCAGTCAAGAGGGTACTTGAAGCAACCCCAATTCAAATACAATTGAACAAATCAATACAAAACTGAGAATAAACCTTACTTTTCTGTGAAGTCTGATCAACTACTTTTTCTCTCTCGCTTCATTTATAGAAGCTCTCTCAGATTCAGTCTGAACAGATTACTAGAAAGGATGGAAGATGTAGGACATTGGATTTACTTAAGAAACAGCTTGATGCTTTAATGGGAAGAAGGTTGGTGGGTATTTTGGGAGTATGTGACCAAAAAGCCTTCATCATCAATCAATCATCATCAATACCACTCTAGTGCATCTCGCTTAATATCACTCTGTGCATTTTGTGATCTTGTTAGTTTTGAGATTTTATCTCTTTCCTCTGGTCCTCAGAATGTCTATTACATTTCCCTAGCCTCATCTTACAGCAGCTGACAATGTCAATATTGTTGTTTACCTCAATGTTGTCGGAAGGTGATAAGAACACATCTCTTTCATGTTTCCACCTACCTGGAAGCGGAGGATGATGGTCCAGATGAGACCCAGAGTCAGCCGGTGGCTTCCATCAACAATGTCGTGTGACCCCATGTTTTCAAGGTGCACTTTTTGCTCTTTCAGGAACTGAAGGGCTTTGTCTACATTTTCCAAACAATGAATACGCATCCGGCCCTTGGTTGGCTTTGGCTGAATGGGAAGAATAATGGCAACATGCATCAGTTCAAAAGAAAATGTAATAGAAAATGGGCAACAAAGTATATTCATACAATGTGTTCTCATGTAAAACAAACATCTAAAAGCACTTCACGGAATGAGATTTGTTAGAAATGTAGTGAACATTATGGAGGGAAACAGCGACTAACTTGCACCAGTGACGTGCTGCAAACCACAAGGTGAGCAGCTAATTCATTGTCATTTTGGGAGAGAATTTGAAAAGAGAAAGAATGTAAGCCAAGGTAGTGGAAACCACTTTATTTCCAAATAGAGTCAGGGACAGCAGAACCTCTTCACGTTCATTTGAATCAAAGCAGATGGGATCTCAGATGGTGAATCAGCCGACAAAAGAATAATGGTCTGGAATACGTAAACAACTCCTCTTTAACAGAGGGGAATTGAAGCAAATACAATGCCACCCTTTCAGCTTTGGACCTGCCTTCTAGGCCAGATAATGAGCTGAGCATTTCCTCTTAATAATAATCCTTGCATATAGCGCTTTTCACGACAGGAGGACGTCCCAAAGCGCTTCACAGAACACACTGTAAAGTGAATTGACTGTATATTTGTGGGCGAACGCAGCAGCCAATTGCGCACAGCAATGTCCCACAAACAGTCGTAGATTGAAAATGACCAATTTATTATTGTTTTTGGTTTTGGAGGGATTATTATTAGGCGTGTGGAGTAAGGAAACTTGCCCAAGGTTTCGCCCTGCCTGGAATAGAACTCAGGTCTCTCACTTGCAAAGCGAGTGCTCTAACAACTGAGCTACAGGACTCCACAAACAGTCTTCTTGTTTTAGCGTTGAGGTCCTGTATGTGAATTTGAGGCCTGTGAATCACGGGTTCATAGCAAAGAATTCCCAATAATTTATCACAGAATTCCCAAAAATTCAGCACAAAATGGCAAACTCACTCAGAAAGCCTATGATTGGTGTGGGGGCAAATGGAAGAAGAGAAAAAAAACAAGTTGCTTGTTTTTTTTAGATTAGAATTAAGCCACATTGTTGGGGCAAAGTTTACCATTCATCTGGCCCACAATATACACCTCACCTACGACAGTGTATTCCAGAGACTATCAGGTATCAAATGAGGAAATAATATTTCTATTCTCCAGCACTGATACCCCTCACAAACACAAAAATAAAGAAAAGCAGCAAGACAGACGTAAACATTGAAAACTCGATAAAATAAACATTACAAAACACACAAACTGTTTGCAGTTCAAAGTGCTTCAGATTATTTTAAATCAATGATAATCTCATCCGTGCATTTCATTTCTTCTTAAATAATAATGTCTGGTAAGTATGGGGCCCTCGATTTCAAAGGTAATAAATGTAATAAATGTTCATTGCAACTTTCTCAAGGCCTTGAATTATTCTGTTTTTGCAATCGACCATTGAACGCTCACGACAGCCAGGAACAAAGCAGTGAATCAAAAATGACACCCAATTCAAGAAACATACCAGTTGTTCTCCTGAAAGCACTTCCAGCAGTTTAATAAGCATACGGCCATCTCGCAGACCTGTATACAGGTCGGTAATCCGGCAGGTTACACGTGCCAGGTGAGAATTCACCCATTTTGTAAAAGTCTTCTTCTGCACAGCTTCTCTCTCATCTGCAAAACAATTGTAGAATTTATTGTTTGGGGTGTCACTTGTCACCATGTTTAACCACCAAGTGGACTGACGATGGTCTTAGCCATACAGTGAGTGTCTTAAACTTAACATGGTGTACAATAATCCCATGCCATTATTCGCAGAAAGGAGTTTCTCCCGGTGTCCTGGTGAACAATCTTGCAAATTAATCCTGATCTTTCATTTCATGGCTATTTGCAGGAAATTGCTATGTCCAAATAGGAGATAAGAAGAGCTCCCAATTCGGGGTGGGGGGAATCAGGATCTCTCTCGCATATTTGCACTGTATTGTGAAATGGTAACTGTCTGCAAACATCAAGAATAGATAAATCAAGAGAAAACTCATAGGTTTAAAATAGAAGCCAGGTATCGAACAAAGATCATTTACAGGATCTCCATATAAGGTAGACTGATGGCCACAGAAAACCGTTTGGGTAGGGCATTATTGACAGATTTATTAATGCAATGTAAACGTAAAAGCAACATAAAAGAATTCTAGCAGCAATATAAATCATTGCTCATTATATTTTAAAGGAATAAAACCTCAATAAGGTTTATAAATAATACAAATACCAAGTATTTAATTAAATCTGACATATTTATTAATTGTATGGGCAAAGTCAAATCATCTCCGCCTTTCTTAGCCGTGTTTGCTGGTGCACTAAACAATGCTAAGATGGAGGAAGCCTGGTTTAAAGGGAGAGGGAAGAGCTCTAAAATCAGGCACAGGTCAAGGGAGAAAATCAGAAAGGACACAATATGAATGGAGGAAGAAAAAGTAGTGCACAGCACACGGGTAAAATAAAAGGAAAAGGGATGGATGAAAGGATTGTGAGCTGCAAGGTGGGAGAAGGAAAGAGACAGCTGGCGAAGTGCAGCTCTGCTCTGCTTATTGGAACATCACCATAAAACTGATACAAGCAGATTAGACTCGCTTCATTCAATGCGTTCCCAGTTCTGTTCCAGTGTTCCTTAGCTTGGTGATATTTCTGCTCCAATCCCCAGTGATTCACCAGATTGCAAAAGGGCGCTATGTAAATGCAAGTTGTTGTTCTTGTTGTTATTCATTTCAAGTCTTCAATAAAATACAAACAAGCAGAGAGGCATGATGCACGAACCCAGCAAAAGCTGTATCTGGACTGGTATCATGAGCAATTTTACACAGGTGCAAAAGGTGAAGTTTCAGCTCTGATAGATGTCTCGACCCCAGTTTAGATGGGCTAATATAACAGCCAGCAGATTGCTTTTGGCCATAAAGATCTCCGATAACATTTTACACAATTCACCCAAACCAATCGGCTTTCCCGCACAGCATTCAAACCGTTTACACGCTTGATACTTTATCAGTTTTGCTGTCATCATTGTGATGACTTTAGGGGCTGTGTATTGAAAAGTCTGCACAATTGCAACAGCAGGACTTGTATCAAATGGATTGCTCAGAGTTCACTTATTTGTTGGGGCTTTTCAGTTTACTTTGGGATACAACAAGGCCAGCGCACACTTGGGGAAAAAATGAAAGTAGTGAGGGAGAGAAACTATCCTTTCATAGATAAATCGACTGTTCACTTTTAATGCTTACATAAATAATTGGGTGGTGTCAGCCTCATTCATGCAGATGAAAAGCAGGTAGAATTGCCTGCAGTATGGCATAAATTAACAATTTCATTCAGACAAACCCAATAATAGCTTGTGATAATAATAATCCTTGCATTTGATATAGTGTTGGGAGGATGTCACAAAGTGCTTCACAGAATTCACTGTAAAGTGTAGTGTGTATTTCTGTGAGGAAATCGAACTTAGAAATTGAAACAAAAAATTGGGCAAGTTGGCTCATCCAGTCGATCTACGCTGGTGCTAACTACTCTAGTTCCAAAAAGAATCAAAGACTCCAATGCCAAAGACAATCATTGTTAAAGCAACCCTCACTCAGCATTTAATTCACGTTATTCCTGATGAACACAAGCAAAAATATAACGTTTGTCAAAAGCATTTGATGAGAATGACAAAGCTGGTATTATGAAGTGTCCAAGAGATTCAAACAGCGCACAGTAAAACAGAGAGCATTGTAAGTGCACAGTAATTGTTTATTTCAGACAAACATTCAATGTGCACATCACCTCCCTCAATGATTAACAAGGAAATAAACACATAGCCATTCCCTTAATTAACAGTAAATATGTGTGTGGGTGGGGGTGGTGGGGAAATCCATTCCCCAATAAGAACTGAGGCAGAGCCAGCCAGAATTAGCAGGCTATTTGCACTATGCAGTGAGAATTCACTCAACATTGCTTCTTCGAGTGATTTAAAATGGATGAAAAGTGCAATAAGTAACAGTTCGGAGGAACTGACAGAGCCATAGCTGGGGAAGGAGGAGGGGGAAAGTAACGAGAAAGATTGTCTGTTTGTGGCAAACTCAAAGGCAAGTATCTTAGCCATTACCTGGTTAGTTCTCCACTAGTCATTCACTACTTTGATGCCTTTTTTCTATAATAATACTTGTATTTGATATAGCACCTTATCTGAAGTATATAAAATATTTTTCCCACCTCTTTCAATTTCAGGTTGTATTATTTGAGATAAAGACTAATTCAGAGAGAAATTTCACTTGAGTCTAGATTTACTCTATTTATAATGGCATTTTAGAATATTTCATATAACATCTCAATGAGTTTCAATCATATCTTTTTAGAATTTAGAGAAATCCCTCAAAATACAGCTAAATTTAAAAACCTCTGGACTTTCTAAAAGGCTACATAAAATGAGATTACTCGGTGGAATTTCTCTTCAGCAGTTTAACAATCTATGAACGAGTCGTGGACACAAAAAGGTGCACATTGGAGCAGCAGCTGAAAATAAACTAGGTACATGAGAAAGCACTTAATCTAATCCATGTGACATTAAATAATCACCAAGACACAGAGAATGGCAACATTACTCTTGGGACATTGAAAAAAAATTCCCAATAATTCTTAGTAACTGAATGAGCTCAGAAAGGGCCAGTAACAAATGCCTGTTCCATCTCTGTGTGCATCATGCTAGCTAAATATAAATAGTGCTGTGCTGTCTATAAGACACTAACCTGCGTGAAGAACCACCATTCACACATAGTCCGCCAACAGGCTGCTAAGCCAGTGCTTAGGGTTCCTAAATTACCTGAGCAAAGAGCTGTGGGGTCTGAGCAAGTGATAAATGAACGGTGGTTACATGAGTACATAAGGGACCAATGTTGATCTCCAATATGCTATAACCACGATGGTCCACAAAGTGTTTTCTCAGTAGGATTCTGCATCCCGACTTTATCACGGTTCATTAAAAACACTGAAACCAGAAAAAGAACCAGTGTTGACCATTAGGCATCTATTTTAAAGATGCCTCAAATATGCACACTAGATTTTCGTAGGTGTGCTAGTCATGTGGCGGAATGGGTTCGTGGAAGAATTCTTGATTTTAAAGTGATTTCTATTGCCACAAAAATATATTCAGGTTGTTACTGCTCCAAAATGTTACAAGTTACAACGGGGTCAGCCTGGCTCAGTTAGGAACACTCTCACCTCCAAGTCAGAAGGTTGTGGGATCAAGCCCCAATCAGGAATTTGAACTGAGTCCAGGCTGATGCTCCAATGCAGTCCTGTATTGTCTGAGGTGTGCCATCCTTCAAATGAGACATTAAACCTGTTCAGGTGGAAGTTAAGATCCCATGGCACTAGTCGTAAAGCGAAGGGAGTTCCTCCCAGTGTCCTGGCCTAAATTCCTCCAGATAAAAATCAGTCATTCACTTCATGGCTGTTTGTGGGACATTTCTGTGTGCAAATCGGTTTCGAGAGTTTTCAATATGATGTGATAAAGCCAAGGATTATTATGATTATAAATTCAGTGCACACAATCCAAGAACACTACAGAGGTAAGTAGCTAATTGAGAGAAACTTTAAAGATGTACAATGTGAACGGTTATTTTATTTATTTTTTTAATTTAAAATCTGCATGTAAGCAAATACCCCATCTTCAAATATGGTAATTTGAAGGGCAATGCAAAGAAATAATGTTCTAGTGTGCTGGAGTTAAACACAAAAAAAGAGTGAATTCAACAGCACGTTAGTTGCAACTCTGGAGATTTGTGTTCTGAAAATTTAGAGACAGAGCCTCAGTCTCCATTGATACCTTCAATGAGCTTTCTCCTACAGCACATAATTGCCAGTCCTGGACAGGTTGTCAGTTGGAATTGGAAAGAAGCTAAAACAGCCTGAAAAAGGAGAACTTTTCTCTCCCTAGACTTCAAGCACATCCTAAGGTAGGTCAAACAAGTGTACGCCACATTGGATAACTAGAGACATCAAAGTCCTAATCAATGAGGAAAGGGTGAACATGTGGGAGCTGGGGTTCTAACTTGGACAGTCAAGTAAAATAACAATGGAAAAACTAGAAAGGAAGGGATTAGAGTGATTCATTTTTCTCTGGAAAATACAGCGCTGAAAGAGTTAATGTGCACACATTTCTTTCAATGGTGAAAGGTGCTGGCCTGAGCGGTCAGTTTGCAAAGCATTGAGCAAACAGTCACTGGGCATGCATTCAGCTTGGAGTTTTAAAAGCAGCGGTTGAGTCAGGACTTGGATTTCTATAAACGTTTTCATTCCAAACGTTTGAGTCAAAAATCTGTTCGAATCATCTGCATGCAGGGTGCTGGTGACCAGACTCTGAAAGCGCTATCTGGTGTATAACAGCGTATAATGCAAAATCCAAATTGTTTCCAGTTTCTTTTCGACAGCCTCAACACTTGACTGGCTAATGATTTCTTTTTATTTAATAATTTATGCACTCACTGTTTTCACTTGCTACCGGTAACTCTCTTTGCCATTTAACCTGGGTGTGCAGTACTTTACACTTAACGCCACGCATTCTCGCTTTCCCTTCTACCCACCCCCACCCGGTTCTGACTTTTATGCACATTCACTGAACCTTTCAATACAACAATCGTAATGTGGTC